GTCGCGGACATCAGTTAATAACGCATAAATTAAAAGATTAATATAATCAGCCCATTGTATTGTTTGCAACATCAATGTAATTAAGTTATTCAGTCATTTCAGAATTGTTGTTAAGAAATTCGCGCCTTGACCTGGTAAATGATGTTAAGAAATTGGCTTCCAAGCATTTATAGTAGTTAACATATTTTACCGTATAAAATAAAGGCTTATTGTTACCGATTTTAAAGTACGATGATTTCTTAGAAATACCTATATCTTAGATTATTCTAATACATGCCGTAACTATCTCTTATCTTTATTATAAATATAATACGTAAAATCTTGCGTACTTTGCGTGTTCTGTTGTTGAAGACAACAATATTCCGAAAATGTAGTGAACCTTATCTACAAAATTATCTTTTTAATATGCATAACCTGTCCTCTGTCACCTTTTACCAATACCTCCTTACCTATAAATACGAACGTAATTTGTTTCTTATCGCTTCTTATCATTCTGATAACTGGAAAGTTTATCGCATGACGACAAACACTGCTATTGCGAATTGCCGTTATAATGTAAAGAGAAAAATATTGGTATTTATAGCTCAGTAAAATTATCTTGACACCTATAAATTATAGTTAATAAGCCTACTAAAAAAATAACACCAGAAGCGTCGAATTTAAGTAGCAGTAGAACTCCTTGTGAAAGTGTTCATCCAGGGAAGTACTGCCACCTTACCTATTTCTGCCGCCAAACAGTAATGTGAACATTAATGCATTCCGGTTTTGAAGGGTAAGGGTGCTGGTAAAATTACAGGGACATGAGACTTGTCAGCTTATGACTCAGGGTGACAGGCGCAGTGGCAGAGCCACTCAGGCGCGCCGTGACCGGCGTGTCGCTTACCACCAGGACCATGACGTCTTCGTCCCGTCACTAGGTATCATAAAAAAAAAGGGAGAATGCTTGCCTCTCATGTGGGGCTAACAACTTGAGTCTCTTCTTGGTGTGTCGCATCCAGCAAAAATGCAGAAAGCCGTCCTACTCGATATGGCACGTATTCGTCGGTTCTTGAACCTGAGTCCCTGACCCCGGCCGACTATGCCTTTGCCGGAATGTACCACCTTTTAAACTTTCTAAATTAATCTTTTAGGCCATGAGAGACTGCCAGCTGTCAAGGCAGGCCATGACGACCGCCTCCATGGCCGAACGATTACCATGCTGACTGCCATACGGAGGTCTCGGGTTCGATTCCCGAGCCGGGATAAATATTTGTTTGGCCTACATTTATTTATCTCGTGAAATTGGATGTAATTTTTGGTTGTCTATGTGTGTGTGTCCATAGCACCAGCAACCCTGGGTTTTCCCGTAGATATAATATCGATGGGTTTTTCCAATTGCGAGGCTATAAAAAAAGAGGCCAGATAGATGATAATAATAATAAATTATTAAGGTGTAAAGAAAGCCTCTACATAACCTTGCAAAAAGCTGTAATTTTAAATACATGCCGCATCGTCAGAAAGTTCATGCAGGTGGAAGAGGACGAAGTAGGATCTTATTACACACCCACCACATACTCGTAAATACACGCCATACTGCATTTACTTGACTTAGATCCGTTAATCTGGTTCAAACCAGAGGGACTACTCTCGATCTCCGTCCGAAACAATTACTGTGAAATAAATAATATCCGACCAAATTAAAAGACAAGTATCCAGTATGAAGCTTCATTCGCATCACGCGTCTCTTCATTTGGTCAAGTATTGTTTATTTGGCAGTAATTGTTTCGGTTTCGGCTAACAAGCTGAGAAGACTCTAGATAACAATGATATATCAATTCGTTCTAACGCAACCTGAAGTCCATAAAACTTCATGATATATAAAAAAAATAAGCGTTCAATATTAAAAGTTGCAGTTGGGTCGTTCCACCGAAAATGACATGTGGTTCAAAAAAATAAATTACACAATTTGGTTTTAATTGTATTATGACGATAATACGCTCAATAAATCAAATCATTAGAAATAAATGCAAGTTTTCGGATATTGTACAATTATTGTATTTTTTGTCTTCATAAACGCAGCCATAGTGCTGTCGTCTATAGTGAAGCATTTTTTCCTATAATGTTAGCAACAATTTTCGCGGTTATTTGTGCGTCTTTCTAAAAAAGATATTACTGTCGAAGAAAATACAATTTACGAATTTTAAAACAGTGATAAGTGATTGCAAGGAAGTATATATGGTGAGGAGTTATTAAAGTTTCCATAAATACTGATTTCAAGTCCCACCCGTCACAATGAAACATATATTTTTATTTTAACCAATAAATATGCAATCTACTGGCATTTACATTTGTAAAAGTAACAATTATGCTAAGGGTCATTATTTTAGCGTGGTTGGGCATTGTGCACGTAAATAGCAATGTACATATTAAAATTTGAAAATCTAAACGTTTTTACTTTGAATAAATGTTTGTATTTTCATGCATTCCAGTTTTTACGATGTTTACTAGGTGTAACAGTTGCTTTAATTACAGTGTTTAACATTTGATGTGTTAAATTGTGACGATTGGGACACTATGTTGTGACAGGTGGGACAAGTCACATTTAAATACATGGAATTTAAAAAAATATGTTTTTTCATGGTTCTAGCAGTATATTATTTACTTTTTTTTATATTAATAGTTACTACCTAATTTCTACCTAAACATACTTTTATTTCACTATTTTAGGAAGATTGTATGGCCTACATTTATTTCTTTCGTGAGTTTGGGTGTAATTTGTGGTTGTCTATGTGTGTGTCCATGGCACCCGCAATACGGGGTTTCCCTAGTGCGGGGCCATGTAAGTGTGCGCATTATGAAACAGCCATAATGCGCACAACTTACCCGTACATGTCAACGGACAAGCTGTAATTTTCTAACCGAGAATGAAAGTTTCAATTAATTTGTGTTTGTTAATTAATTTATTGACCTTAAATTACATTCAATTACAAACACCCCATGGTTCACTAAAATACATGAGATCTACATATACATTCATAACTACTTCCATGACAGAACAGTTACTACGCTGGTTTGTCATGCAGGGCCTGGGTTCAATTTCTGGGCCAGGAAAGTATTTGCAATGGCCTATATTTATTTCTCTCATGAGTTTATATATAACTTGTGGTTCTCTATGTGTGTGTCCATGGCACCTGCGATACAGGGTTTCCCCAGTGCGGGACTATGACTGTGTGCATTATTAAATTACATAAAAAAATAAAAAATTAATAAATTAAAAATATGTTATTGAGGAACAACTAGGCTAACTAAATCCTATAGAAAGAATAACAACTCAATAACCAACTGGCTGTCGCATTGTGTGCAGAAGATTGAAGAGCAAACACATTTGCGCAAACAATTTTCCACATTAAGGCAACTCATAGTTAGTACTGACACTTGAGATGCCAAAATATGTAAATAATTACCTGTTTGTGGTGTTAAATAAGACCAATTGCATGTTGGTAGAATAATATTTAAAAAATGTATTTTCCTGAAGGCATGTGAGTAATTTAATTATTTAAATGTGTATGACTGTTGTATGACATCATTCAGAACATTCTGAATTTTTCTAAAAGGCTTTCCTTACTTCCTTATGTATTTAAAATTTTGAGTAAATTGTGCAAAAGGTAGTTTATTATTATTTATTTATTTACTGACCATTGGGTTAAGAGCTATCATTTTATTAAGGTAATGAATAATTGAAAAACTAAAAATATAATATGCATAAAATTATATTGTATAAAACTTACAAAAAAATTTCATGGAAAGTTAGCACAGATAATAAAAGAAAGTAAAGATAGAGGCTACTCAGAAAGAGTGTAAGAGAAAAAGAATATGATAAAAAGATACTGTAGCATCAGTCAGTAGTCATCATCACAACTTGTCTGTTAGTAGGGTGGGCAGAGACAATGGATCTTATGCATTCTGCACCCTACTATAGAAGTAGTTAGTGTTTTAAAGCCTAGAGTAGCAGATAAAGGCACTTAGAGCAATACAGTAGCGTGAGAGCGTAAATTTAAATGACAATCGATAGGAGCAAGGTCGTATTGCTCAAGACGTGTCTAATTAGGTAAAAAGGCCAACATACTCTGTGAGTACCGCTCCACAATGATATCAACGCCAATTTAATAAAATTATGAGTCACACGCGCGTCCGGCTGTATGAATTGGCCCCTCAGTCTCTTTACTAAAGTTAGTAAAAAAGTTTCGTTAGTTTTTTAACATAGGCAATTTATTTTCTTTACATTATAATGTACACGGTTTCGGATTTTTTGTGAGTTTTACGGATTTTAGTGTAAAATAAAGTCATAAGTAAATTTCTTTTAAAGAATGTAAGAGAAATTGTGTACCTTGTCCAAACATTTTAGCTCCTCGGTTGGATACACTGTTTTCTCGCACCGTGCACAAGTTTTATTCATTTTGAAAGAATTTGTGACACAGAAACACTGTTTAAACTTCAACACAAAGTATTTCTCAGAGCAACACAAGTTTTCACTATTCACAAACAAAGTTTGGAATTCACTTTTATAGAAAAACACTCACGAGCACGATTTTCGTAGCATCTCCCGAAAGCGCATGCCAAAAAATGACAAATGGCGGCGATTGGTGTTGCCCTACACGTTTATTTTTCTACTAATGAAATTTCTACCATGTATTAAGAAGGTTCTACCATTAGGAATATATTTTATTTACTAGATAAAAATGTTCAATACATACAGTCAAAAGTACATGAATTTGGACGATTTATATACCTAAAGGATGGAAAAAAGTTCTTGTATTAAGTGGCATTCAATTCAGCTCTATTGAATTGACACTTAAATTTTTAAATTTTAGATTTTAAATTTCAGTGTAACTTTCTTTTAGTTTAAGTGTAAAAAAGTACTCTTGACGTGCACCCTAAAGTACAATCAACTACAATATTTTTTATTAAATAAACTGTATTCAAGCAAATGATAAAATTACAATTTAAAATAAATAAATTCTTCAACATTCATTATGTCTCGTGCAAATGCATTTCTCTTTCTGCAAAACTAATAATGCTTCATTGAATAACTGTTTTGAATTTTGAATCATGTCTACTAAATATTGGTAGTCATCTCGCTTTTCTTCTTCAAGCATTTTAAATTTATCTTCCATTATTTTCAATTTTTCTTCGGTTAATTCCAATTTGTATTTTAGCTCATCTTTATCGAAGCTTTCTATAGTTTCCGTAGGTGCAGGAGGAGAATCGGTTGTAGTACTGCTCTTGCTCTCAGTAGGTTTCTCTGGGATAACTCCTGTAGACGACTTTCGTTTTGTCATAGTAGATATAGCACTAAAATCATTTGCATCTTTTGTTAAAGAAATTTTAGATAACTTGGACCCTTTTCTTGAATCTTTCATTTTCTCTAAATCTGCTTCTAACTTTGCAACTTTCCTCTCCAATCTTTTCTTTTTTTCTTTTAATTTTCTGTGACTCGTGTCCAACTCTTCGTTATTGTGTCTTTCAATATCGAGTCTTTCATTGAGCTTGACGACCAAATCTGAAAGCTTTTTGATCTCATTATCAGTTGCAGTCTTTGTTGGCGTGAAGAAAACGCTTTGAAGGGAGCATTCTTCATATCTAAGTAATTGCGCCCGTAGTTCTTCTATTTTAGTTGCTTTTTCTGTGGCCTGTTTTCTGAGAGCATCAATTTTGACTTCCGTATTTTTGTTTTGTTTCTGATATTCATTTATTTCCTTTTGCATTTTATTCATTTTCATCGTGTTCTCTTTTAGAATTTCTTGATAATAGAGTTCCAGAGTTTTTATTTGATTCTAAAAATATATTTTAAGATATAGTTCTACACAAAAAAGTTTATACTATCTATATAGATTATACTATCTATATATGACAAAAACGTAAACTGAATTTTTACCTCTTTTGAAAACCTTAACAATAACAAAATATATGTCTAACGAACTTAATAATAATGTAGTCAAACGAGTAATAGTTTTGCTTACACTTTCTCTTTTAAACACTTACTTCATAGGAATTTTAACTATTGACAATAAATGCATAAGGAGCAACACAGATTGGTAAGGGAAGACTCTCACCCTTTGTTCATTAATAAGCATATCATCATGATTACTTTTCTCCATAAATGTTTGCATTTTCTGTCTTATAAGTGTAGCGTCACATTCTAAATTACGGACTCTGCATCGTGCGGCTTCCCACTTTTTCTTCAAGGCTTGATTCTCCTCTTTAATCTCGTCGCAATCTTTTAAAGCTTTGTCAATTTCTTTCTTTCTTTTTTGTTCTATTTCTCTAATAATCTAAAATGTAATTAACAAATTCAGGCATTATTTTGCAGAAATCCATGTTAATGAAAACGGAAGTAAATGAATTTGTTAATCGACGAACCCAGTCAGTGTTAACTTTTGCTGATCATGCAAAATAGCTGCTCTTATATTGGATATTTCTTTTCGTGTAATAAATTTCTCCACATTCCCTCCGCATAAAATTAATAATACAAATATAACACAAGCTTACTATCACAAACATCACCCCCAAAAACATACCCAACATGCGTTTCGCCTTCCATCTGTTCTACGACATCCAGACGTAATACTTTTTCGCAAAATGTAATATTTCATATAAATGCGTACTGCAAGTATTTCTCACAAGGTTCCGACATAATACCTAACAATGACCTAACATTAGATACCAATGTTTTGAAATGTGTTGCAACGCATTTCGGGTACAGGTTGTAAGTTATAAACCAGACTTTTGTTAATTCTACTTCTTTGTAATGTATTGTACTTATTATTTCGAAAAATACTTACAGCATTTTGATCAAATTTTTTTGTTTCAGTCTTTTCAACCAATTGTTTAACGTTCAACTTGTCTTCGAGTTCTGCTATTTTAGCTTGAAGACAGACTATTTGTTGGGCTCTACCTTTCCAACCAGCGATATCGTGTTGCAACTCTTTGATGCTTGTAAATTTATCACCAAGTTCTTGTTGCAATATTTTAGTCGCTCCAAGTATCTCGTTTTTCAACTCAAGATTTCTATTTTTAGTTTCACAGAGCTTTTTATTTACAGCAGCAAGCTTCACAGTAAGCTCTTTAAATTCATCAGGACTTATTCCATCCATTTTATGATCTTTGCACAAGCAAACATCGAGATTCTCGTGTTCTTTGTTAATTATATCAAGTTGCATTATTTTTCTCTCCAATGCAGCGTTTTTAGTTTTATAACTTTCAACCTCAGCTACTAGGTGCCTGTTTTGTTTGCAGAGGTCAGTAATTTTCTGGCTGATTATACCTGCGGATTTTGCAGATATTGTCGGACCGGATCCGGATATAATATCGCGGATACGGTTTTGAAGTTCTTCGACAGATTTGCTGGATTCTTTTATTTCTTTGTCTTTTGTGAATATAAGTTTGCGAAGTTCATTGTTTTCGCAAGTCATCACCTGAAATCAGAGTTAAGAATAATTGATTTTGATATACCAAAGACCATTATCCATTAAAGCTTTCGCAGAATACTTAGAGCATAGAACACTGAAGGCAAAATATATTCCATTAATCGTACACCATTATTGTCTAAAGCTCAGTTTTCGGAGTTATAAGTCTAAGGGAAGTCGGTTATGCGTTGTTGGCCTATTTAATTCTAATAAATTGTTAAAGACGTTGCAATTTTCTCGCTTATCACCCCGTAACCACAATCAAATCATCTAAGTTTAAAATTTGGTTAAGGTGACGCACGCGTTTATTCCCAGTGTTTTTTTTAGTTCTGTTGTACAGTTCTGTTGACAGAACTACTGGTAGTTTCCTTCCCTTTTGTTCTGTTGATAAATAGGCAGTTTTCTTCATAGAACTACTGAGAATTTTCTCTCCCACTAATTCTGTATACAAATTTCGAATTAAACAATTTCTCATAATTACAGAAGGAAACTTGAACTTTAGAAATTACCTACTATATAATGTACAAACTCATTTAGAATCTACTGCTGATTAAAAAGCTTACACACTACCCGATTTCAAGGGAACCCTACTCTAATTCATGTAAGTTAATAAGAGCGACGCCCTAAATAGGGGAAATCTGGACTCTGGAAGTGTAATAAGCGTTTAATTAAATTTTAATCGCAGTAGAGCTACTTGTGAAAGAGTTCGTCCAGGGTCTACTGCCACGCATATATTTACTATATACCAAGATGCCACGTACCTATTTCTGCCGCCGAGCAGTAATGTGTGCATTAGATTTGTCAACTTATGTCTACAGCGTGACAGGCGTAGTGGCAGTGCCCTTCAAATCTTTGCGATTTAAAGTTCTGAATGGCGCTACAACTGTTATGAACAGGCGTGTAGCTTACCAATCAGGCGCACGACTTGTTCGTCCCGTCACTTAACATTATAAAACTCTTTTCAAGATACCAATCCCTATATATTGAAATTTAGTTACATACAGTGTGAGTTGGTGACTGTAGACGGTCAATAGTCTATTGAGTGCAGATACCCTACTTTCATTTCTGCTACACTTGCACATCACTACATTTAAATATTATTTGGGCATTTCATGGATACCTGGATGTTGGAGAACATCCACATAATTCTTCGACGAAATGTGAAGCCCCCAGTGAGGCAAAAGACAGTCGGAAAACAGCTGACTTCTAAACACACGACTAGACCTTGGCGGTACCGTGTCCATATGGGCTTGTACGATCACGATATGGTAGTGTAAGCTTCTGTTTTGCCATACGGAATCTGTGTGTAAAACATATCTAATTTATCTACCGCCAATAAACCTATTACCTTTAATTGCTCAATTAAATGGGCATTGAGTTCTGGAGGATATAAAATATCGCCAGAGCTCTTTGTGTCAAGCGCTTCCAGCATTTGAAGCTTCATTTCATCCGTATCTTCGATTTTACCAGCCACTTCTATAATTGCTTTTTCTTCCTTCGTTGGCTTGGTTTTTGGGGCCATTGTGTTTTTTATATTCTAACTGTAAAAAAGTACGCCAAGAAATTACTTTTCGAGATCACATCCGAACTATTTAAAAACATATGTATTCAGCAATGTCAAAAAAATTCTTTATTTGAAATTTAATAGTAAATCTTTGTAAATGAGATCAGGAAGACAAATTCAACATTTCTATAACATCTACATAATGTATTAATTTTTTAAACGCAGTAGCTTGCGTAATTTTAATAAATTGTAATAATAGTACTAATTATTTACATCGCAACTGTACTAATAATTTTAAATGTTTATTGTTTATCAAAACCGGTAATTATTTTACAACATTTTATAAACGCAACCATGTGTTTTCGAACAGGGCATCCAACATAAGAAAATTAGTTCTCCGTCAGCTGTCAAAAGTATATAGCTGAGTAAGATAAATTTTCTTGTTGTTATTTAATTAAAAACGGTAATTAATTATCGTCTGTGTCTCTACTAGCACCATAGATGGATGTTAACTAATTGAGCTACCATCTGGACTTCATACGCGGTCGCTGCCACAACGAGGTGCGTACAATTATCGATTAAACTTGTCCTTGTGACTTTATATACTTTAAACGCAATGTTTTATCTTATTGTTATGCAAACAAAACGTCTTCACGGTGAAATTTGCATATATTTCTATATACTAGACTTCTTTAGTCATATAAATTAATATAAGTACTTAGTTTGAAGATTAAAAAGGATTTTTCTTAACATTTCTAGAGGCAAACATGCCCGGAACGAATTTAATTGTTCCTGTGGTTTTATGGGGTAAACATGCCCCCACCCATTGCGTGTCGTCAATCTACATGTCCAGGGACCAGAAGACGCTGGTCACTGGATGCTATGATGGTCAGATGTGTATCTGGCAGGTGGATCCTGAGACATTGAAGATGACCCCTAGGTGTTTACTAGTTGGCCATACGGCGCCAGTTACTTGTTTGTCGAGAGCTTCTATTATTCAGGTTTGTATGTTTATGAATTTTTTAAGTGTAAATGATCTGAAACACCTTTCATGAAGATCCAGCAAACCACAATGGGAAAAACACTGAACTCTCGGTGTATATATACCATTTATTTATTTATAGCCCTTATTGTTGCTTGATGAGGTTAATAAGATAATTGATACATAAGCTAACTTATCTAACACAGAAACATTGTATGTATAAAGAGAGGAATCTTCTATCCAATGAAATCTCGACAAAAATAAAAACTATTATTCTATTTCCTTAATGGCGGCCACTAGGCTTGGGCCAGTGTCCGTTTACACAAGTTGAAAAACAATGTATTGATTCTTAAGTCGTCATGACACAACACAACATGAACACAACACTTTAATAAACTTAAATCAAAATTCGAAATAATCACAGACAGACATAGAAGGTGTGTCAGCAAAAAGATTTACCATCAGTATGACATGCTTATTAGTTATTATTACTCAAATTTCTATATTTTGTTGACTCTGTATCTTCAGCTTACCTTAAGACCTAATAGGCCTATAGGCCTTTAGACCTATAGGCCTTTTACTAGCCATACATAGATTTCCAATTCTTCCTATCTTTTCCTATTTGCCTCTATTCTCCTCCAGCAACATATTTAAAATCGTTTTCCCATCTAAAGTATGGTCTCCCTTTCTTCTTTTTCCCTATCTTGGGTACCATTCTGCTATATCTTTGGCCACTTATAAATTTTTTCTGTCATCATGTGTCCTGTCTAACACCATTTTGGTTGTTTTGTTATGTCCTTGACTTTTTTAGTTTTTACTTTATCTATAGGAAATGAAACTATTTTTTCAGATTTAAATCGCATATATTTGTAACCACACCAACATTTCGACGAGATGGTCACACCTCAGTCAACCATGACCATGGGACCTGTAAAGGGCCCAAAACATTTGTATTTTTGAAAAAACAAATATGAGCGATTTCAATCTGGAATAATCTCAGTACAGAGTACTAAAAAAACTGACCCCAAAAGTACGTCGAATTACGTCTATTTGCTAAGTTTTATTGAAATGTCCTTAAATTCGCCACTACACAGGACTTGACACTGGAGATAATAAAAATCTATTGTATATATATAAAGTATATTGAGAGAAAAACGCCTTGAATTGGAGAAATAGCAAAATCAACCATTAAAATATTTGCTCCTACGTAAAATTTAGGCGCTATTTATAAAAATTAATCTTCATGCGTGAACAGCCACCCTTAGAGGTGGATGATTTTCTTCAAAAAGAAATGGGACTACTACGGAAGTACCCCCTTTCCAACAAAAAGAATCATGAAAATCGGTTCACAAAGTCCGGAGTTATCGCGTAACATACATACCAAAAAAAAATAAATGCAGTCGAATTGAGAACCTCCTCCTTTTTTGAAGTCGGTTAAAAATAAATTCATTTCCTATGTGTAACAATCGCGAAAACCTAAGAACTCGATATTTTACTTGGGAATGGCATTGGAATGCTCACTAGAGTCTTAACAGGGCATTGTGGTTTGCACAAGCAACATGTGTCAAATAGTGGGTAGATTAAACTGCCTCTATGGCTGATCGGTTACCATGCTGGACTGCCATGCAGAGGTCCCGGGATCCTGGGAAGAATATTTGTATGGCCTACATTTATTTCTGTTGTGTGTTTCGGTGTAATTTGAGGTTGTCTATGTGTGTATCCATGGCACCCGCGATACAGGGTTTCCCTAGTACTTATTACGCATTATCTTTTACATTTCCCCACTTTGTCCCAGTTAAAGAAACATTCTGTATAACAAAAATTTTCTTTGTGGTGCTTTAACTGAATGAATTTAAAATTAAATTAAAATTTTTATTGAATTGATATTCAATTTTATTTTTTTGCGAAATTACTTCACTAGTTTGTTATAATTACTAATACAAAGATCGAACACTCAGAAAAAATTCCTTCAATCCGGCCGGATTCGAACCTACGTCTTCTAGCTTACCGTGCCAGACGCTATACCAATTAAGCCACGGAACGAACCAGCGGACCTCACGAATTTTTCTATGTGCTTGCGTCGTGTCTTTGTATTTGGTTTTTCAACGCCTTTTTAGTCGTAGCGCCATCTATGAGAAATCTGTGAAAGATTTATCACCCAGTTAGTACCTTTACAGCTACCAGTCCTGGTGAGAGATGCCGCTATTCACTGTATTTAAAATTTTTATTGAATTGATATTCAATTATTTTTTTATGAAATTACTTCACTAGTTTGTTATAATTAATACAAAGATCAAACAGTCAGAAAAAATTCCTTCGATCTGGCCGGATTCGAACCGACGTCTTCTAGCTTACCGTACCAGACGCTATACCAACTAAGCCACGGAGCGAACCAGCGAACGTCACGCATTTTTCTATGTGCTCGCGTTGTGTCTTTGTGTTTGGTTTTTCAACGACTTTTTAGTCGACTTTTTAATCTATGAGAAATCTATGAAAATAACGAACACTCAGAAATCATTATTCCATTGAATATTTCAGGACAACAACTACATAGTGAGCTCGTCAGAAGCTGGTGAGATGTGCACTTGGGATCTTGTTGACGGAAAGTGTAGGGAGAGCGTCAAGTTGACGCAAGTCCATACCAATATTCAGGTAAGTAGTGTGATATGATGTCTGCCCACAGTTTTAACACAGTATCAGAATATCTTCTCTTTAGTAATGCAATACAAGTGATGTTCAGCGATGTCATCTACATTGTACTGGTGTAATGGAATGGAAGCGAAAGTTTGTAATCATAGCATAATAAACTTTATGTAAATTGTAGTGATGTAACGGAAGTGTCATAACGGAAACAGACGCCAAATGCAAATCTTAGCAGTAACGGAAACGAATGCGGAAGCGTAAATAATATAAATATCTCAACGAAATAAAAATTCCAACAAGGCTTTTATTTGGTATCATAATTGCACTTACTATAAAATTGATAAGTATGCACGCGTGCTTGGCCGACTGCCAAGTTATACATGCACGCGACTGATCCATCACGAACGTTACAAACGCTTTATCCGAAATAAAATTTCCATTATAAAAGTTGCGAAAGCAAACCCTGTACTCTCGTTCTGCGTCCGACATCCGTCCGAAACAATTACTGTCAAATAAGTAATATTCGACAAAATTAAAAGACAAGTATCCAGTATGAAGTTTCATTCGCATCACGCGTCTTTTCATTTGGTCAAGTATTGCTTATTTGGCAGTAATTGTTTCGGACGGATGTCAGACAGATGTCAAAAAGTACTTCCGCAGTTCCGCACGGAACAGTTGTAAAAAACCACTTCCACAGTTCCGCACGCAGTGATAGAGTATATTTTATATAAAAAAGGCACAATGTTTAAATATCGTGTAATGAATTTCTCCGCGTCTACCTCACGCGTTCCAAAACCCACCCTGGATGCATTACCATTAATTAAAAATAACCATCTTACAATCTTCTCAGGCCTACCACATGTGCAACAGTGATGACCTACGTCTGTTTTGCAACGGCTACTATGCAGAGATACTGATCATGGACCCTTTCTCTCTGGAGATCCTATTCTCATTGAGCTCGAAGATGAATCCTGATTGGATTTCTGCTTTACATGTAAGTTTTGTATTTTATTTTTGGCGTTCAGGATCATTATCGCTCTGTCTTCCTCGTGTTTCACAACCCACGCAACGAAAACGACGAAATACAGCTTAGTGGCGTTGGCATGGGGTTTTTGTAGTAGTTTTTGCATGAATATTTTTTTAGTTTAAGTAGTTTTGAGTTTCTTAGTGCTGCCACCTTACCTTTTAAGTACTGCCACCTTGTCTAGTTCTGCCGCCAAGCAGTAATGTCAGCATTACTGTGTTCCGGTTTTTACGGGTAGGGGTGCTGGTGAAATTACAGACACATGGGACTTGTCAACTTATGTTTCAGGGTGACGGGCACAGTGGCAGTGCCGCTCAGATCTTTGCGATTTAAAGCTCTGAGTGGCACTGAAACTGTTGTGGACTGGCGTGTAACTTACCATTAGGCGCACAACTTGTTCGTCCCGTCACTTGATAGTATAAAAAAAATCTTAATTATTTGTTGCCTTTTTAAGCTGAGGGGTCTGTAGCCAATGCTCAATAAATAAATAATATTTAAAAAGATGAAAAAAAAAATAATGGCGAGTTGTTGTTGTACTTACAGTTTTTGCACGAATAAATTTTTAGTTTGTTTTATTTATTTATTATTTATATTTGTTAACTTTTTAAGCTGATGTCAATCTATCCAATACACAATGAATATATATATTTTTAATTAAAATTTTAACAGCTTCGGCGTCAAGCTATGCAGCCTATACTTCATTTGTCGTCTTCATTTTGGTTTCAGTTTTCATATAGGTTTTCAATCCTTAGATGACAACAATAGTGGAAATGCTGTAACTGTAAGCGATTCATAAGCTTTTTCGTTCTCTGGTAGAGATGGCAGGACTTTACCCGCCGGCAAAGAAATAAATAGCATTGATAAACAGTTTTTTTTTATTTCATGACTTTGGCTTCAAGCCAATTAGTCGAAATATTAAACACTATGAATATAGAAAGTACTAATTTGTTTAAATATCATTACTTGGCTGAAATACATGTTATTAAAAATGAAAGTAAAGTTTTGAGTTCTTTGGTTTTTCGCGATTGTTATATATTGGGAATAAAACTATTTTTTTCGAATCTAAATCCCGTATATGTATTTTTGCAAACAAATCATCGTTTCGGGCTTTTTACATGTACCATTATCATGGCTGACTGAGAGTTTTAGACATAACAGATTGATGACTTTATATCTCGTCTCGGAGATACGACTATCGTAAGAATATAAAAAGACCTTGCGAATTCCTCTATGCGTTTGTTACAAATCTTTGTATTTTGGTTGCTTTTACATTTCATGTTTTTACATTTTTTTGTGACAATACTCCACTAGTTTTATAAGCATAAGCATATAATTTTAAAATGAAACAATATACCTACAACATATCATATTAATTGTAATATGTATTATAAGGCATACAATCCATTAAAACACGTAAATATATACATATTTTTGGAAAGTAACATTTCGCCTATCAATTCACTTCCATCTCTAATTTTTTTTAATAACCCCACCAATATTGTTTTAAGCGTTGCTGTTTTTTTATTGATTATACCCAAATAGAATCGGTAACTTATTTATTAAACCTGATAGTTATTGCAAGCAGCAATAAGTATTTCATATCAAATAACCGATTACACAGCTTTTGCTAACAGTTTCATATTGATTTTTATTTTTACTTATTAATGTTTAATTTTCCAGGTCCTCAGACCGTCATCAAGGAAGGACGACGTTGTTCTTGCAATTTCGATTACTGGCACTGTGAAGGTAAGCGTGTTTCTTTTTTGGCGTTTGCTACGGACAAGTTTTACCAGATTTGGTGGTGGTGGTGTCCGTATAACTTGATTTCCACCAGCTTGCCTTAAATTTTCCACATAGTACGAAATACTACATTTGTGCCATATTTTAAGTGTAGAATAAGTTAACCAGTGCAGTCCTGGTGCATATCATCCCTTGCTTGATTTACTGACTTAACTAGATTATCATAAAATTGACACAAATAACTGTCACCGCCATTGACTTACAAATAAATGGACGACGGGTCTAATACAAAAACCACGAAAAAAATGTCCCAAGTCACCCTATTTAAACGTAGTGACATGTCAAGGAATATGAAAAAGCTTTTAAATTGTAATGTCATCGCAGTACTGTCTAATTTTGCTTGCTTCGCTGTCAGTCAAACAAACGAAGACTAAAGCGTGAATGACGCTCTGTATACGATTTTAACGCCCTATAAGTTCGGACACTTTTTAGCGCGGACCCGACGTCCATATAATTGTAAGTCAATGGTCACCGCGTTTAAATTAATTACATTGTGAAAAGCAATTGAATGATGTCTGTGAAGGGTTACCTGTCAGTAGTCTGTTATGACATTTTCCTGAAATAACGTTTGGTCGAAATTTCATAACCTCGAAAGTAATTTTGAGAGGAAAATGTTTTTTCTTTTAAACCTAATTTAACCTGACCGAACCTAATCGTGTCTTTGCGATAAACGTTCAACATATTCTGAAAGAACAACTGTTTCGTTATAATTCGGTTTTCGGTGTAATGAAAATTCGAACAAGCGTTATTTCGGACAAAAATTTTCGACTTTGTGATAGGTTACCCTGTGAAGTTCTCAATCCGCGATGGGCCCGCGTGAAAACTAAAGCCCAAGTCTTATTGTGAGAGGAGGCTTGTGCCCAGCAGTGGCACAATATGTCGCAATACTAATACTGTCCTAATTAAAACATTATGGAATTGAGAAAACACAGTTTGAAAGTTCAAAACAGTACATTGTGCATTAAGAGCGGTAAATAAAGAATTACGAAGGAGACTCTATTAGAAGCCCGAAGTCGAGGTTCGTAACTTCCGAACCGCCCATGTTACATATAGTGTTTTTTCTTTACATTTGCGAGGCAATAAATACAAAGATAAATGCAATAAAAATAAATATGGCTTCACAACCAACGATATCTATGTACAACAGAACAATTACGGATTTTGCAAATTGCGGGTTTTGTTTTTTTTTTCTAATAAAACAGATGGCCAGCTATTTTTCCATAGATAATATAACTCGAACTAAAATGTTGCAAAAGGCAAAAACGCATGCAGCCACGATGTATTAGATATAAAATAAATAATTAAAAATACTGCGGAATTACTAAAATGTAGTTAAATTGCAAATGTTTAACTAAACATGTGTTTTGTATAATTCGAGCTTATGCGAAATACGTTCAGATTTTGCGAGCATAAAATCTTTTGTTTATTCTTGACGTTGAAAAGTACAGTGCAGTTAAACTAAAAAATAAATCCATTAGTGACTTAAGGCGGTAATGTAATGAAAAACCATGTGGGCGTAATTTAGGACATTACGGTAGACTTTGCCTGCATGTTATGACACTAAACTAAAGCTTCTCTACGTATGTCATATTAAATAAATGGGATCGTTTAAAATTTTGGATATTTCTAGTTCTATTTAGAAAAGTTATTGTTGTCGTTTTACTGAACATACTTTCGATGTCAGTTCAAAAGGTATTGGTATCTTTTATATAGGAAATAATCGCCTGGGCACATTTAACGAATACACCCTGTATAGACTAACTATTTATTATTTATTAACTGACTTCAAGAAAGATAGAGGTTTTCAATCCGCCTGTATTTTTTGTGTGTATGTTACGTGATAACTGCATTTATGAACCGATTTTGATGATTCCTTTTTTGTTCGAAAGATGGTATCTCAGTAATGGTCCCATTTGAGAGTAGCAAATTAGGGGATAAATTAGGTTTCTTGGATTTCAACCACTTTCCGATAACCGTTTTCAATAAAACTTGGTTAATATATCGACTCCTCCTACGTAAAGTATCGAATGTCGAAATTGCCAAGTTTACAGGGTAGTGTTATAAAGTTTTCCGTTTCATTCGGCAAAGCTCGTTGCTCACATAGAGTGATCATCTAATAGATCATCTTACCGATATCTAGAATTTTATAATACTCTAAGTGAGTAACGACCTTTGCCGAATATAACTGAGAAACGCTAAAGTCACGTATTATGCTTACTTCAGTGAATTCAGAACTTTAAAAGGCTCCACTGTAAACTTGGCAATTTCGACTTACGATACTTTACTTGGGAGGGGTCGATATGTTATTACTAGATGAAACGCATAGTGATTTGGCCGGATATTCGGCGAGCACCTAGGCCGGATAACCGGATACCCGGCCGCCGTATAGCTGAACTACTGCCGTAAATAAATCGCGACCGGTTAACAGCGCGCATCACCTTGATTGATTGAGTAGTGAATGATTGGTCATCCACCATAATTTGCCTTTATTGAAATTTGAGTGCTAAATTTACAGATAACGTTATCTAACTTAATAGTTCTTTCAGTTACATGTAATAAACGGATCGTTAACGATTCTGTAGTTGATTTTTATCCTATTACTATCATCTTTAATCAATAAATCAATTTGTTTGGCGCAGTGATTATGAATTTCTTTAGTTTTAAAAATATTAGTGTACTCACCGGATATTGTTGTACAATCCGGTATCCGGCCGGCTATCCGTTTCATCTCTAGTAATTACACAAACGTTTGAAATTGGTTTATTTTTTATTTATAATAAAGGTATAATTATTTTTATTATCGACTTGTGTTCTGAACTCAAATAAACCTCTTCCAGGTGTGGTCCCTCCTGGGCCACGAGAACAAGCAATCGGAGCCAATTTACGAGAACGAATCGAAACAGATTCGCTGTCTCAACGCCCTGTCGTTAAACTGTTGTTCTTACAATCAGAGAACTGTGCTAATTGTTTGCGCAAAATACTGTCAAATATACGACGCTGGTAAGTACGGTTTAATTAAATTATTCTGTAGGGCTACCACGATAGGGCACGGCTTGCGCAAGAGCGACATAAAGCGCAAGATACTGCTATACTCCCTTATATAACCAGAAATACAGACGAAATAAGCACCCATCCCTGGCAACTCATCAGGCAAATGGGTCTTATATCACTTTTAAATATCAACTCTCTTTTGCGCTGAAATCACAAATTAGAAAGCTGAAATAGTACAGCGCCAACAACTGATCTGTGTGTACGTCTCCGTATATTCCAAAGATATTCGTATATTTATTGTAAGAAAGATAATATTTTTAATAATAGGGGTGCTGTTCCATTCGGTGGTGTGGGAAAAACAGCAAAACATCTAATTACAAAATACACGGAATCACATTTAATTGGTAATTAAATATGTAATTTTTAAATTTTCGTCAATTATAGCACAGCTCAAGTTAAACTGGTCGATTTGCAGTGAAACAATTGACGACACCCGTCAATTGTTTCGAATTCGGGCGGGCCAACCGGAGCGCAGTTGTCACCGTAATGATTTGGCAGAATAGTTTTCAAACAAATTAAATGATATTTCGTCTCTATTTCTGGTTATATACTTGGGTGTTGTCAATTGTTTCCCTTGAAAAGGACCAGTTTAACTTGAGCTTTGGTATATGGAACAATGGACGAAAATTTCAAAATGTACATATATAATATTTAATTACCGATGAATTGTGATTCCATTTGCTTTGTAATTAGATGTTTTGCTGTTTTTCACACACCACCGAATGGAACAGCCCCCATTTTTACAGATATTATCTTTATTACAGTAAATACAGAATATTTTTGGGATATACGGAGACGTACTCACAGGTCAGTTGTTGGCGCTGTACTATTTCAGTTTTCTAATTTGTGATTTCAGCGCAAACGAGAGTTCATAATTGAAAGTGATAAAAGGCCCATTTACTTGACGAGTTGCCAGGGATGGATGGTACTTATTTCGTCTCTATTTCTGGTTATAATTATACTCTATGAAGACAAAGCTCTGAATGGCACTGCAATTGTTTATATAAGCGAATGGCTTAGAACTTGACGTCATAAAAACGTTAATGGTCGGCTTGGTCGACGTTATGCAGTCGTGAACCAGTCCCACACTAACTGTAATCATTTTAAATTCTCCATCCAGGTGATTTCTCGGTGTTATGCGGCATAACAGCACCAGCTGGTGAGAGATGGCTCTCTGGTGATTTCCTGGCACCAGATCGTGTGTTAGTCTGGTCAACTGAAGGCAAAGGATATATGTACAAATTGCCTGCCAAGTAAGTGTATTGGTGTTGGATTCATACTTGTGTTTCTATGGTAGAACCTTGATGGTGAAGTGTATTTAAACAATTTGTTTTGTAATTTACAAAGAATAATTGTCTTAATACCGGAATAATTTTCTAATATAATTAAGTAAATTTAGTATCGTTGATCCATGCGCAAAAAACCGTACATTTCAGATAAAACAGCCCAGTAATTAAACTGTCTCCGTGGCCGAACGGTTACCATTGCCACGCAGAGGTCCCAGGTTCGATTCCCGGGCCGGGAGAAATATTTGCATGGCCTACATTTATTTCTCTCGTGAGTTTGGGTGTAATTTGTGGTTGTCTATGTGTGTGTCCATGGCACCCGCGACACAGGGTTTCCCTAGTGCGGGGCTATGTTGAGTGTGTGCGTTATTATTATTATTATTAATTTATTTTGACGCGTAGTACTGTTTTTTAAAGTTACAAATTCATTTAAGAAGCTATCTATACACTTCCATAATAAGGTTGATTTCAACATTTGCCATTCACGAGGTTTAAAACTAAAAGTGAAACAAAAACTAGCCTGTCGTTTTTGAAGATGTAGTAAAATGACAGTTAATTGCGCAAAAGTGTTGTCCGCTTGCCAGCGTCTAGTGATTGAAGTCGATAAATCGACCCCTGCTACGTACATTATCGTATGTCGAAATTGCCAAGTTTACAGGGGAGCGTTTTAAAGTTTTGAATTCACGAAATGTGCTTAATACGTGACTTTAGGATTTCTCGATTTTATTTGCAATACTCGTTACTCGCATAGAGTGATCATCTGTTAGATCATCATGGGTCATCTAACCGATATCTCGAATTTTATAATACTCTATGTGAGTAACGCTTTTCCGAATAAAACTGAGAAATGCTAAACTCACGTGTTATGCGCATTGCAGTGAATTCAAAACTTTAAGGCGATTATCACACTGTACTGCGCCCCGCGACGGAGCGCGGAGCTGCGTTTTTTAAAGTTGTACTGAAGTAGCTCAGTTTGTATGGAAAACACGCGCCGTCGAACACACTGACAACGACCCCGTGCGGGCGCGGCGAACCGCAGGGTATGGCACACTGCGCTCCGCACTACCGCGCAGATTTTTAAGCTTAAGTACATGTTCAGTTTTCTACAATAGATCTCGACGTCGATAAATTTATATTTGCTATTGAAAATCGACCAAATTTATCTTCATATTTTCTTAAATCTTTGTAATGAAGTTGAAATGATCCATTTATCGTAAACAGGGATGTATCCAATATCTTCGGTGTCTTTTTATTTGAGTAAACAAAAACCAAATAGTATAACTGCAGCGACCTGAATGAGTTCTGTATTATTAACCATTTTGGTCAAAGAAGGATTTCGGCTATATATACAATCACTACGGCTATCAACTGCGAAGCGAATATTTTAAGTGACACGGGGCCGCTAGACCGCTGCCCCCGCGCAGATTAAACCGCGCGTCGACGCAGATCTGCGTCTCCGACACTCGCGCGGTCGCGCGATAATCTCCTAAAACGCTCCCTACAGGGGAGCTTGGCAATTTCGACATACGATACTTTAAGTAGGAGAGGTCGAAATACTCTATCGACTGAGTGCTGGTTATGTTTATTTAATAAACAGCTGCACTTGTTTCAATTGTATCATCACCGGCCCATTATTCGTCCAACTGCTAGGCACTTGTTCATTTGAATGGTAAATTTTTGTAAGTTCATACATAAATGCACTATATTTCGAACAACGTCTTTTAGAAATACAAAGATGGGACATGTTTTTAAAGTCTTTCATATTAATTCAATAAATATTATCAAATCCGCCAGGCCTTATTAAAATGTGTATGATTAAAAATTTATTTTGATACTAGCAGGCCGACTGTCAAAATAAGAATAAAGAAGGCAATAACGCAATTAGTATATATCATTAGAAAGTCATTCACAATTCAGAAATTTTTTGGCAAAATTTTACCTACTTTCACAATCTATTGATAAAACTGTCGACAACAACTACATGACTATTTAAAGTTTTACGAAAACTGGCAACCCTTCAAATGTCATTTTAATCTTCAGAAAAGACAGACTGTGTGATATTTGAAATAAATATTGTAAATGATATTACAAAATGTCAATTTACAAAGAGCAACCCCTAGAGTTTTTTACTCATTCTTCTCAGAGGAATCTACCTTACGAATGAGAAGTAGAGTTTAATCAATATGACGTTTTCAAGTGTATTTTGCTTACCTATGAAATAATCTCTTTTCAGAACAATAAAGTAAATTAAATGTAATTTACACATTGTTCATATACACTACAAAATTTTCAATACAAAAAAGGCATGCGTTATACAAAACTTAGTTCAACAAATTCATTAGAATCATCCAGTGCATCAGGGCACCAGCTAAATTAAGACAAATGTGTGTTAGTTTTTTACTCGTGAAGTTACTTGAAAATGCTTAAAAAGACCCTAAGTTCCCGTATAAGACCTAGACGGCAGCCAGTGTCTTCAGGCGAATTTCAGTCTTATTGCTATCGTCAAAGCGTGTCGATTATAGAAATCACGAAGCTTATTGACTGGGAATCGCATTAAGCCGATCAGAAAAATCTTTATGTCTTTGTAATAAAAGATATTAAGACGTTTCGCGTTGACGGTTGTCTTTCGCGCTCTTATCGTATGGACCCTTTCGGTACAACCGATCTACTTTCCCGATCGGTCCACTTTCACTATTCGTCTACTTTCCCGATCGATCAACTTGTTTTTCCCGATTCGTCCATTTCCCATTTCATCTACTTTCCAGATCGGTCTACTTTCCCGATTAGTCCATTTGTCCAAATGTTCCACCTTTTAAGCCTTTAAATTAATAAAATTTTACAAAAAAAAAATCCGTTTAATAAATTTTCAAAGGCAGTTTGTAATTGCATAAATGCAGATTGTCATGTAGTACATTTTTATGTTTTTGATAATGATGGCCGCTTTACGTTAACCATGATTAAAGAAAACAAAATCAAGTAGTCAGTTTTGTAACCGACTTCAAAAAAGGAAGAAGTTCTCAATTCGACGGTATTTTGTATGTTACGCGATAACTCCGGCTTGTGGACTGAAAAATTTGTAAATTGATTTTGATGATTATTTTTTGTTGGAAAGAGGATACCTACTTCACTAGCGGTCCCATTTAAATTTGAAGAAAATATTCCACCTCTAAGGGTGGCAAACTCGGGGTGAATCCGGTTTCGCGCACTTTCCGGTAACCGATTGCAATAAAACTTGGCAAATAGATGTAATTCCATAAACTATTAAGATCGGTTTTTTAGTAATCTGTATTGATATTATTTGAGTAGACGCATCATTAAAGTAGACCGATCAATCTACTTTAATGATGCGTGAGATGGGAAAGTAGACCAAACGGGAAAGTAGACCAAACGGGAAATTAGACCGAACAGGAAAGTAGACGAAATGGGAAATAGACGAATCGGGAAACTTTTTATCCCGATTCGTCTATTTCGAATCGATTTATAGATCGGGAAAGTAGACGAATAGTGATAGTGGACCTATCGGGAAAGTAGACCAATTGTACCAAAGGGTAATGACTTGAAGCTTTTTCTGATTGTCTCAACCGATTCAACGTTAATAAGTGTGATGACTCTACGTGACGTATAGTCTTTTTTTTGGAGAGGCCTATATCCAATAAATATACAGACTGACTTTTTTTTCGCTTTGGGAACCACCATGAAATAGCGAAAACAAAATCATTTGTCCTTTTTGTCGGCTGTGTACCTTCAGTGACCAATTGATATATGTTTTCGCTATTTTACAGGTTTCTATAATAAAAGTTGTAACTATCAATAGTTAGCAACCCTCAAGGGTTAGAAACTACCCTCTGAAATAGTATGAAATAAAAAAAAGTTAACCTGATACATCTATTCAATACAGTTCCAGATTCAAGTAACTTTAAAAACTAATTAACACAAAGCTATTTGTTAGTTATGCACGTCATCATGGCGGAGAAGAATTTTTTCAAGAGGAGGTTTATTGGAATGCCATTTAAAACCTTATTATTATTAAGTACGATTTACGAAATTTAGTTAACGACATTGTCAAATATGTGAAAAATCTACGTAAGATTATTGGAAATTTAAATTACTGACACAAAGATAACGTTTGTACAATAGGGTAATTTCAAAAAAAAACGTAACAATTTTTACGGTTCTTGCAGCACGCTTTCATAAACTTCTTTTAAATAAATTAAAGTAACAACTGAGGGAGAGGTAAACATAGTATTTATTACTGTCTTAATTTGACAAATAATCGGTAGAAACAATGTTTTAATTGCAAAGCTATATGAGTTTGATCAATATTAGCAAAAATAGCGAATTAAACGACAACATTGTAAAAAGTTTGTCAGATTATAAGCAGAAATGGTGACTTAAAGTTTTTCTTTGACAAATAATTAGTAGAAACAGGGGTTTAAATAGTAACTGAACCTGAAAGACAGAATATGTTTGTCGAAAGACTGTCTTTCGCATTAGTCAATTAGCCGGCAGAATTTCTAGATGCATCCTATGGTCAAAGTAACGGATGTTACATGCGCTATGGAATTACCCAATATCGTAAAATAATAGACTAAAACAATGTTGATTGTATGTATCGCACACTCAATAATAAAGTGGCATAACTGGAAAAGTAAGAAAGAAAAAAAAAATCGTTATTTAAGGTGAGAATCGGCAACCGATAGGAAGAAATTTCGGATAACCTATCACAAACTCGAATTTTTCTTTCCAAAATAACGTTTGTTCGAATTTTCATTACACCGAAATCCGAATTATAACGAAACCGTTGTACTTTCAGGATATGTTGAATGTTTATCGCAAAGACACGATTAGGTTCGGTTAGGTTAAGTTAGGTTTAAAAGAAAAAAACATTTTCCTCTCAAAATTACTTTCGAAGTTATGAAAATTCGAGCAAACGTTATTTCTGGAAAATGTCATTTCATACTACTGATAGGTAACCGGAATTTAAAAATGAATAACGCACGTCCTTGTGGATTAAAAGCAATAATCGGACTCGCATTATTCAGCAGGCGCAGCCGCTAGTACGTTCTACTGTAGGCTCACTCACAGTGAAGGTGCGGGTGCGGGTGCGGGGGAAAGTGCTGAAGCGACTAAAACCGTTAGATCCACACGTCAAAGTTGCAAACAGACGCTAGACCCGGCACTGTGAATGGTACGTGCGGACCAAGCCAATCCTATGGCGTCCGCTTCTACATACATTTGATTTAGACGCACCCGCACTCGCCGCCACTCTGAATAAGGCCTATAGCTTACCCACTTTCTACTAGGAGAAATAAAAAAATCTATATCGATTCGAGTAGCCGAACGGTTACTATGCTTGTCTACCACGCACATGTCCCGGGTTCAATTCCTGGACCGGGAGAAAATATTTGTTTATATATTGCCTACATTTATTTCTCTCGTGAGTTTGGGTGTAATTTGTGGTAATCTATGTGGTATGTCCATGGCGTAAAAGAAATAATTTTAAGTTTTTTAAAATAATGTTTTTCGAATTAAGTCACTTTATTCTAGGGCGTGCGATGTTAAATCATAAGATTTAAAAAAAAAAATTATCTTAATGTATGTTTTAAAAAATAGTTTATTCACATTGGTTACAAACTAGTTTTAAATCGCATTCCATCAGGCTTGGCATAAGCGCAAATACAGAAAATGTTTTTTAGTAAATTTATTATGTTTTGTCAAATGTCGTTGAACAAAAATTGTTGTTTATGTCAATTATCTAATCGTGCGTATAAACGTCGGAGTGGACACGCAAATAACAAGAAGATATATGTATATTTCTGTTCATGCTAAGCCTGTTAAGCGTGAAACACACTGACACGGTGCGGGTCGGGTGCGTGTCGGGTCGGGAGCACGACGGGTGTAATTCCGTATATTTATATCGATACCTTCCACGTAAATTGTTGTAGGCCACAAAATACATTTTTAGCGTTTTGTTTAGTTTTAACATAACCTATTAGTAGCAGTAGAGCTCCTTGTGAAAGAGTTCGTCTAGGGAAGTACTGCTACCTTACCTATATCTGCCGCCAAGCAGTAATATCAGCGTTACTGTGTTCCGGTTTTGAGAGGTAAGGGTGCTGGTGACATTACAGGACCATGGGACTTGCCAACTTATGTCTCATGGTGACGGGCGCAGTGGTAGTGCCCCTCAGATCTTTGCGATTTGCACTGAGTGGCACTACAACTGTTATGGACAGGCGTGTAGCTTACCATCAGGCGCACGACTTGTTCGTCCCGTCACTTGATATTATATGAAAAACAAAACCTGTAAATAGTATATAAAAAGGAAATTTAAGTAATTAAAAAAATGCTATTTAGTGTTTTGCAACAATTCACGTGGGAGGTATCGATATGAACGACAACACAACACGCGAGGGCGCGGGGGGCACCGGTCGGGTCCCGTGGAATTATAACCGCCGTGCTCCCGACCCGACACGCACCCATCCCGCACCCGCTCTCTGTGTGTTTCATGCTTTACTGAAAACTATGTCAGTCTGTCTATACGTCTTTTCATTAGCGGTTCATTGCGACGCTAAGCTAACTTTTTTGTTATAGCAAACTTCGCGGACGGGCCGTTATTAGGTCAGCACTTTATATATGTTGTCACGTTTCGTTGTTACTGTGCCGTGTGACATGTATGAGAAGGGATTTTGTTTATGAAACGAGATAACTTTGCAGGGAAACCAAAATTACCGAGTTTTTACATTTTCGGATCTGTACCGCGTTTATTTTTTTCTTTTCAAACATACCAACGTTACGGGCCTTTTTTATGTATAATTTAGTTAATTAGCTAATATAATATCTTTTTTATAAAAAGAAACCGATTTCAAAAGTTCGTGGAGTTACATATATTTGCCAAGTTTTACTGAAATCGGTTACCGGAAAGTGCGCGAAAACGGATTCATCCCCTTGTATAAGAATTTTTTACCTCTTCCACCTCAGTATTGGTCCCATTTAAAAAAATCTTTCCAACAAAAAAATAATCATCAAAATCGGCTCACAAAACGGAGTTATTTATTTCTTTATTTATTTCATACAAACAAGGCATACAAGAGAACAATACAATTTCTTACCAAACTGCGAAAGCGGTTTGTTGGCGAGGTTACACCATGTCGAAACTCGAAATTGTGAAATTGAGAAACCACGATTTGAAAGTTGTGAAAATCATTGAATGAAACCAGTAAATATATATTCTTATTTATGAATGGGTAACTAAATATTATAATTATTTTTTTAAATTTATTTATGGCAACAAATGAAATAGTATTTTGTGAAGCTTGTGCTTCTTGTGAAAGAGCTCGCCAGTAAACTCTGAGTATGAGTCAAGGCTTCAAGTCCTTCTTCATCCGGTGTTCCTCATACCCCGTACTGACTATCTGACCGTACCTTATTAATTTTTAATAATTTTAGTTTGATTTAACTGCCTCCGTAGCCGAACCGTTCTGGATTGCGACCATGCTGGACTGCCATGCAGAGGTCCCGGGTTCGATTCCCGGGGTGGGAGAAATATTTGTATGGCCTACATTTATTTCTCTCGTGAGTTTGTGTGTAATTTGTGGTTGTCTAGCTATGTGTGTGTTCATGGCACCCGCGATACAGGGTTTTTCTAGCGCGAAACGTTGGTTTGTTTGAGAAACTCAAATATTCACGATTTAGATTGCAAAACTAGTTTCATTTCCGAAACCAAAATTGTTATTTTTTTTTATAATATCAAATAATAAAAATAGATCTATTTTGAATTTCACTTGATTTTGGTTTTCTCGACACCTGTATACGTCTACCAGAATCTCATGATAAGTAGGGACATCAAAAATTGTTCTTGGCAATACAGGACATAATTTATTTTAAAATTTATCGTAAATATGTCCTGTAGAAGAAAAAAATATAATTTTGTTCTACCATTATTACTTTTTGTAATATTCCTTTTAATGTTTATTATGTCTTAATATTTCGAATACGGTACATGATTAGGTCATGAAATCAACAAAATAGATCTTTATTAAAGTTGGAAATATTGTGTACAGTCAAGGGAACATCTTGCTAGACGCATTGGATTGGGAATTGTTCTTATAGTAAGTGCCATAGAGTTTAATTTAAATTCTAAGGGCACTTCAAATTAGACCCTTGTGGAAGCGCTGCATACTTTTATATAAACATACTTAATTTAGATACATAATAAACCTCATATACATTATAATAGTATATAATATAATATGTACCCACAGCAACATTATATAGAGTTTTGATTATGACAATTGTCGAACAGATACTTGCGCAACTTGCCCTTGAAAAATATTTTGGTTTTAATAGTAAAGCTCCTTGTGAAGAGTGCACCCATGGAAATACTGCCACTTTACCTATTTCTGCCTCCAAGCAGTAATGTAAGCATTACTGCGTTCCGGTTTGCATGGGCAGGGGTGTTGGTGAAACTACAGGCACATGGGACTTGTCAATTTATGTCCCAGTGTGACGGGACTACGACTGTAGTACCCCTCAGGTCTTTACTATTTTAAGCACTAAATCGTATTGCAAGTTTTCGTTCCGTCCCTTGATATTATTATATAAAAAAAAATTAAAGAAGCGAAATCAATATATGAATTTATATTTCTCTTATATCACGTTCTGGTAGACCTACAAGTGAAATAATTTTTGTATGTTCCCCATAATCTATTGTCCCTTCTCTGTTATAATGTCACATGTTTATGTTGTATGGAATAGTCTATATTAAGTTGCTAAGCGGTTTTAAGTAGCGCTTTTTTATAATAAGAGCGGTTACACACCGCGACTCAAACGCGATGCAGTCGCTAATCGTCTACCTTTTCACACGCGCGCGATTTTGGGCAGCGATGTAAGCGCGCGACTGCATCGATGCAATTGCCTATAAATTGCAAGCGATGCCAACGCGTGTTCCAACTAACGCGCGTTAGCATCGCTGCTAAAGTCGCCGTGTGTAATCACTCTTACTCCTTTGTAGTATATAGTTATTGTTTTAATGTTTAATACCGCCTTCTGAGTGAATTTTACCATTTTATTTTTAATTATTTATAATAGTTATCAATTCGAGGTTCGTATAGAAATATTCTGAAATATAAATGTAGTTGTATTATTATGAAAATAATAGTTAAGTTTTCTTTTTAAATTACAACTTCAGCAAAGTTGATGCTTTTCCAATTTCAAAACAATTTGGTTTCCAAGCAGAGATTGTAAGTAGTTCCGTTCATTGACCCTTGTTTTGTGTTTTTTTTAATAACATGTTTTTATAGCAGTAAAGCTCATTGTAAAAAAGCTTGTCCAGGGAAGCACTGCCACCTTGTCCAGTTTTGGATAAGGGTGCGTGTAATTTCAGGCACATGAGACTTGTTAAATTATGTCTCATGGCGACGGGCGCCTTGGCAGTGCCCCTCACTTTTTTGCGATTTATAGCTCTGAGCACTGCAACTGCTAAGGACAGACGTGTCGCTTACCACCAGGTGCATGACTTATTCTCCCCATCACTGGGTATCATTACAATTAGCCTGATGTATCCCACTGCTGGGCAAAGGCCTCCTGATCCCTCCACGCATCCCGATCTTGAGCTAACTGGACCTAAGCTTTGTCGTAGGCGTCCAGTTCGTCACGCCTTTACTTCCTTGGTCTGCCGCGGCGCCTTACGCTTTTGGGGCTCCAATGGATGGTTACCTTGGCCCAAAGGTCTTCAGGCATGCAGCAGACGTGACCAGCCCAACTCCACTTCAGCTTCGCAGCTTTTTGGGCTACATCAGCAATCTGAGTTTGGGAGCGCAGTGTCGTGTTCCGATTTCGCTCGGTCCGTTTCACACCAAGTATGCTGCGCTCCATTGCTCGCTGACAGAGCCCGAGGTTGGATATTGGATATTGGGAGAGTACCCCCCATAAGATCTTTCATGGACCAAAAGCTCCTCCAGGCATTTACAGTGCGTTTAGCAATTTCTTGCTGTTTTCTACACTGGAAGGAGACTATTTGGCCCAAGTAAGGTACTCGCTGACATATTGCATATCCTCCACATTAACGCAGATTTTGCGCTTGGTTGTTAGACATGAGTTTGGTCTTGGTTATGACTTTGGTCTTGGTCATGTTCATTTTTAGTCCGATCTCGAGGCTTGCAAAGGTCAGTTCTTCGAGCATGCTTTGTAGCTCTTGGACAGATGAAGAAAAGAGGACAATATCATCCGCGAAACAGAGGTTAGTTAAGAGGTTAATAAAATAATAATAAATATTGATTTTCTAGAATAGTGACCTATCTTAAAAACATCTTATTCATCGAGAAGATTGCTTAAAAATCTGTGTCACCGACGAACGAAGCTGAGCTAACTTATTTTAGTTCACGTAGCGGCATCTTTTCATACTTCGGTTTACACCGCAAACTAAGCTAACCAACTAAAGTAACCCAACGATCCCGCTAGGTATGTAAAATATGTCGCCCTTCTGCCGCTCTTCACCCCCACACGTATCCATAGTCACTACTTACGTGCTAAGGTAAGTTAGCTAGCTTCTTTCACGGTGTGGCCTGCGCTTCATAATCGTATATCACCTCAGTTTTGTCACTTGATAATTAATCAGTGACGGTCCTGGGCGGCTGGCAGCCGTGCGATTTCTACTCAAATAAGTCATATACCATACCCATTGACTCGGAAGTAAAAGCAGTCTTTATGGTTACGGTCGCTCACGGCTAGTCGCTTAGTGGAAAATGGCACTTAGAAAGCTCGATGTCTTATTCGCAGTAATGGTTTAAGATATTTGTCGCGTCCCTCTTTATATATAGATGACTAGCGGATTGACTGGCCACAACGACAGACTCGCTGGAATTAAAAAAAATAAATTAAGCCGACTTTCTTTTTTTGAACAAAACACGACTACCAACTTTCTCTTCTTCGGGTGGTTCTGTTTTACAGATGGTCGTCACTGACACCCGTTGCCTGTACGCAAAAAACCTTTAAGGTTGATAACCAAATACAAAGATCCGACAACGAGCACATAGAAAAATCCATGAGGTCCGCTGGTTCGTTCCGTGGCTTAGTTGGCATAGCGTCTGGCACGGTTTGCCAGAAAACGTCTGTTCGAATCGGTCCAGATCGAAAGAATTTTTTAAAGTGTTTTAAGTGTATCTTTGTATTAATAATTACAACAAACTTATGGAGTAATTTCACAAAGAATAATTGAATATCAATTCAATACAAATTTAGTTACAGTTAATAGTGACATCTCTTTCGATATTTGTATTAATATTATAACAAACCTTTAAGGTGACAACGCCAAGGCTCCGTCACTCGAGGTTACGCGATAAGTGCCTACCGCTGAGTGTATCGCCGGCAGTGCAAGCGCTCAGACAAGTCTTTTATTTACATTACAATCCTTGTACAACCCCTGCATTTGATTCCGCACGACTGCAAACGGTGGGAACCGTTATTTTCACCTCTCGGAGCGCGTGCTTAGGTTCCTTTTTCCTCGTAGTGAGCACCTGGTGTCATTAGTCAGATTTAGTAGGCTATTATAGCGTAGGCATTATCGATTTTGTATAATTTGTCGTAACGTGTCAACTTCGCTGATAGTAGTATTAAGTTGCCTATGTTGTACTAGAAATGTATTTTGTTAATTTGCAATAGCACATTCCATGATGTATTCATACTTTATGTTATTGTTTTATCATTCGTAGGTTAGTGCAGTAACGGACGAAAATGGTTTATCACTTTTAGCCTATAATCTACATTTTAATAAAAAAAATATCGTGATTTTCATGTCGGGAACAATGCACAACCTATCTTCGAAGATGTTCACTGATAAATTAATCAGTTGAAACAAACAAATCAATTGAAATGAAAGTCTACAGAGGTGTTAAGTTCCCGTCACAACATTTTTATTCTCATGGAATTACGGAGTGAAAATCATTAATTGTAGGTTTCATATATGAATATCATGATAGTAAAGAAAGACATCGTGATATTCAATGAAAATAAAAAGTATTGCAATTAATATAGCGACATCTCTTGTCAGTTTCTGATAGCTGTAGACCTGTCTGATTGAAGAAACTTTCATAATTTTCTCACAGGTGGCGCTGACCACAAAATTGCTGCTTAAACTTATTATATGTTTCTAGTTCTTAGGTTTTCGCGATTGTTACACATAGGAAATGAAACTATTTTTCCGGATTTAAATCGCGTGTATTTGTTTTTTCAAACAAACCGACGTTTCGGGCCCTTTACAGGTCCCATGGTCACGGTTGACTGAGGTGGTACAGTCTTCAACCAGTTAACTGGTTGTTTGAAAAAACAAATATACGCGATTTAAATCCGGAAAAATAGTTTAATTTCCTTATTATATGTTATATATAATTTATCAGCACACTTGCAAAAGTTCAGGCCTGTCCAGTTTTTTCAACTCTGCAGGTTTTCATTTCGCCTTACTTTTGTCGAAGACTGGTTAAAAAGAAAGCACAACACCGGTGGTGCCAATTTTATTATTCAACTGGTAGAAAATTTCAAACTAGTAGAAAAATAAGTGATAAACCATCTTGTCCTATAGGGCGCTTTTAAATTAGACGCTTATAGAAGCGTTGTAGCGGCGTGGCAACCGCGCGTCTGTAACACTTCAGTGATTTTTTAGTTCACTAAAGCGTGCAACACACAGAGAACGCGTGTCGGCCCGTGTCTGGTCGGGAGCATGACGATAGACGACAACACACCACGAGCGGGCGCGGGACCCGACTTGGGCCCACGCGCGGTGTGTTCTTGTCTATATAAATACATGCAATTACACCCGCCGTGCTCCCGACCCGAGTCGCGCTCGACCCGCATCCGGTGTCAGTGTGTTTAAAGCTTAATTGTGGTTGTAAAAGTGGCGCGCGTGCGTAACGACAGTGGCGCTGCAACTGCGCTCCTAAATATTGTATGAAAATTAATAGAGGCGCGACAGGAGCGCCACTGTGGCGCCACTGCTGCGCTTCTTTAAGCGTCTAATTTGAATGCGCCCTTAATACTACAGAGCTATGTAAATACGCTCCTATTTGTTTATAGGTATATATTATTGAACCACAAACAGAGATGGGCAAACGCCCGGGTTTTAACCTGGCGCTTTGTGGACCTCGGCTTTGAATCGGGTTAAAACCCATTAACGCCCAAATAGAGGGCAAAAACTATTTACATCTATGTTGTTAATGGAGTTTACAAAAGTTTATTGCTTCCTTATCTAGACAATTCGATTCGCCTTTCTATTGAATCCATTCACTTGAAAATCGCATTGAAATAAATCGATTAAAAAAATCGTATTGTGCTTCTTTAATTGTGAGAATCAACAGGATTGCAAGGTGTGGAGTTGTATATATTTCGTCTAAAACATCAGTATGGAATTATAACAAATTCCGTACTAGCCGTTTCTGCCCACGATTTTGGGTAGAAATGGGTGAAAACTTTTGGGTAAAAACCTGGTTAAAACCCGGACGGGTTGATTGGGTTTCAATCTACCGCCCATCTCTGAACACAACCTAATCAACAAGTAGTACACAGTGTCAAGAACAGTTTTTATTTGCCGTTTTTTTTATTCAATAAATGCAATATAAATAATATATGATTTATTATTACAGTTCCGTACCAGATCATAAAGGATTCCACGGTCCAACCGTAGACCATGACAGCCCTGTGTTGTACGGTATTCTGGCACATACTGATAATAAGGTAAAATTAGTAATACTAATTAATAACTTTCCGATTTCCGCCTTTCAGGAAATGATTCTAGTACAAAGTGGATAACACTGCTCACCTAGGAAGCTGGAGTTAGATTTTAAAGTAATTCTAGTGGCGCTATGTAAAAAAAGTAGTAGATAAATAACCTTTCACCAAAGTAAACACAATTATTAATACAAAGATCGAACATCGGTAGTTTTAGTGGCAGGAGAGCTCCTTGTGGAAGAGTTCGTCCAGGGAAGTACTGCCACCTTACCTATTTCTGTTATGATTTACCTTACCCCTCCCACTGTTCATTAGACAGGAAGCGGCGTCAACAGCAGTGCGTCTAAACAGAGCAGGCCTTTGGAAGCACATGAGGACCCATCATACAGAAATTCTTTATAAGACTGTTAAAGAGGAACCGCGAAATCTGAATCAACAACAATAATTAACATAAAAAAAATGGATGCCTCAACTATGCTATTAAAAGAAATTTTCGTTTTAATGTAGACAAAAAATAATGCACTAATACAATAGTAATGAAATATAAAGTACTAAAACCAGAAATTTCTGATTCAATAATATTAAGTATGAAGATGATTTCGGTTGTATGCAAGCCACGCCTTTGCCTTTCGTTTTTTCAGTTAATGACATCTCGATAACATATTATCGAGAGCGTCAATATCTATGAAAGTGGAGTTATGAATTTCAGAAATTCACGTATTTGATATATTTTTTAATTAAATTCGTACACATTTGGGTTATTAATGCACTTGAATGGTATAATTTTACGGATATATTTGTATAAAAAACTTTTGTGGTAGTGCTTTTAGACGGCTAAAAATTTAAATATTACATGTGAAATGTACAATTCTGCGAGTTTTCCTTTTTAGATGAGTTACATCCGGGCACTGAACACGTTACCATGACTAATAAACGTCCGTTTAACACTATTTCACATTTTAAAACCAATTATTTTACAAAAATAAACCAAATTTGTTTCGTTGTCAGCTGACCCTAGATTCATACAGGCTCATAGCGTATAATGAAGTGGTTTCGTCTATCCATCTCGCTCTAACATACGTTTATACTAACGCTCTTTCACTTGCATTGCCAATCTAATGGATATCCTATTGTTTACAAAGCCAGAATATAATATGGAAATCTCTTATTATTTTAAATAAATTCTGGATTTTGTTAAATTTTGTTAATTTACTTTAATGCAAGACAAATGCATTCATATATTTTAGTAAAGTTTTAAAAATGTATATAAAAGGATTTTAATTTTTTCTTATAACCTATTTCACAGACTAACTCCATAAACTCTGTTATATAACGATATCGTTTCCGAATCCGAACCTAACGTTTACCTCGAATGTTCTGAATAGCTCTGAAACGATTCGGTTAAAATATCGAAGATTTCTGAATCGGGGTCTAGAAATTACCTCATGAAGGCACCTTGCACGTCCAGCATTGACTATAATAATATAGTATCACAGTTTTTGGTTTAGTCACTACAATGTCTGCACGTTTTGGTTGCCAATATGAGTTTAAACTGATTTTAATATTATTGAATGAGTTTTTTATGGATTATTTTGAGTATCAGTTGCGTAGCGGGGAGCGGGTGAGAGGGAGGATAGTGTTGCTAGAATGTAAAAATGATTGAAAGAGTTTGAGTTGCGTTTTGTGTGCGATGAGAAAATTACTTAAAAACAAATGTAAATGTAATATACAAATGTATAAGGAACTGAAATAGCTGAATTAGCTGTAGGAAGTATAATGATTGGACTATGATGATTTTCTCTTACAGCTTCTCTCCTGCCCCCCTTCAATGAGATTTATCATAACTTCCGTGGGAGGAAAACAACGTCGTCTTTTGCTTCGTGGTGATTCTCATGGGGTAGTGTCTGTGTGGAATGTGGACGCCGCCGCTACGCCCGTAGCAGGAAAACCTAGTAAGTACTTGAATCTTACTATGATAACCGAATTCAAGGTAGGAATTAATTCCGCAAGCAAACCCGGGTGACAACATAGTAGGAGAACCTATGCGGCATACTGTACACGCAGTGATGCAAGAGAGTTGCCCCCGCGCACGCCCACGGCGGGCACGACCCCGCTCGGGTCCTGCGCCTATCGGCTCACCGACTAGGACGTCGAATGCTCCTTTCGTGCAACACCTGATGACACTAAGTCAGGGCTCCGTCACTCGCTCAAGGTTACACGATTTGTGCCTACCGCTGAGTGTATCGACGTCGATACAAGCGCTCATACATGACTGCACACAGCGGGCAACGTTATTTTCACCTCTCTAAACGCGTGCTTAGGTGCCCTTTTCCTCCTAGTGTGTGACGATGAGCTGTGGTGCACGTAACTTTTTCGTTCGATGAAAAAAAAGATAATGACGTGTTCAACTACGCGATTTGTCGTACATTACTTATTTATGTAATATAAATCCGTTGATATATTTTATTCTTATTATTGTTGACATTAAATTGACATTGATAACAATTGTGTTTGTTAAATTATTTTGATTAGTCGAAGAACTAAAATTAATTTCAATAATCACTTAGTCACACAAAATTATACGTACAAGCAAGAATAAAAATTGAGGTACAAATTCAGAACGCATCCGAAGGTAACCTTTTTGTAAAAAAATTGATGTTTTATAGATCAAATGTTGTTTTTTCATCTACCATTTTCCTTGCTATAGTGAGGTGAAAATATGTGTGTTTCACTCGGCAGCATAGTTGTTTTGCGTCTCGTGCCTTCAAACCCTCGCTACGTTCAGGAATCTATTTTTGACGCACGGGCGAATTCTTTCGCTTGCTCAGGTTTCAACATAAGTACTCGCGTGAAACAACAACTTTGTAGCCTTGCATAACAAATAACTATTGTTGTAGCATACGCGCCTATCGTACTGACAAGTCTTTCCCTTGCTTGGACGGAAATGAATCCGAGTCCAGTTGGCATTCTGGATCAGCTGAATCACCTTGATGAGCCTGGTAAGTACTTTATGGTTTAATAAAATACTAAAGACCGCGCAGAAGTATATTATTAACATCATGAACAACAAGGTTTGCTTCCAGGATTTTTTACATAACATGATACATTTACTAAAAAAAACTTTTGTAATTTTATTGTATTATCTGACACTTTTTAGATCTTTAGGGGTCGATAGGGGACGGCCCCCGAAGTTATCATCAGTGATCGGATTTGAGGGAATTGATTTACCTAAATTACGAACGCTTTTTTGCATGGACATACCCACGTCGCAATGCGTATTTTCCATCGAGTATATAACCAGAAATAGAGACGAAATAAGGGCCATCCATCCCTGGCAACTCATCAGGCAAATGGGCCTTACATCACTTTCAACTCTCGTTTGCGCTGAAATCACAAATTAGAAAGCTGAAATAGTACAGCGCCAACAACTGACCTGTGTGTACGTATATTCCAAAAATATTCTGTATTTATTGTAATAAAGATAATATCTTTAACAATGGGGGGCTGTTCGATACGGTGGTGTGGGAAAAACAGCATAACGTCTAATTACAAAACAAACAAAATTACAAATCATGTTTCATCGGTAATTAAATATTAAATATATAATTTTTCAATTTTCGTCCATCATAGCAAAGCTCAAGTTAAACTGGTCGATTTGAAGTGAAACAATTGACGACACCCGTTGTTTCGAATTTGGGCTGGCCAATCGGAGCCCAGTTGTTGTCGTAATGATATGGCAGAATAGTTTTCAAACAAATGAAATGACATTTCATCTCTATTTCTGGTTATATACTCGATGTTATTTTCTAAACATTGCAAGATATAGATTGTCTCACGTTTATTTTTTAAATGACTAAAGTATTTAAATACGTAAGTACCTATATGAACACAACTACAGTATTATTGTTTGAGATAATAATTTGTAGGATGTACGTAATAGGAAATAGTAATTTTGTCGCCAATGTACTCAAATGTCAATAAACAATTCGTATATTCAAATAGTACTAGTAGAGTTCCTTGTAAAAGAGTTCGTCCATGGTATTACTGCCACCTTACCTATTTCTGCCGCCAAGCAGTAATGTCAGCGTTACTATGTTCCGGTTTTGAAGGGTAAAAGTACAGGCACATAGGATATGTCTCGGGGTGACGGGCGCAGTGGTAATGCCCCTCAGATGTTTGCAATTTAAAGATCTGTAGCTGTTACCGACAGGCGTGTTGCTTACCATCGGGCGCGCAACTTGTTCGTCCCGTCACTTGATGTTATAAAAAAAAATATTCCGTCAGAAACAATTACCGTCATATAAGTAATACTCGACCACATTAAAAAACAATGTCAAGTATGAAGCTTCATTCGCGTCATGCGTTTTTTAATTTGGTCGAGTATTACTTATTTAACAGGAATTTTTTTGGACGGGTGTTGGACGGAGATCGAAAGTAGACCCCCAGTTCCGAGAAGTCACGGGATTTGTAAAGGGAATGTCCACATTATTCTTTAGTTTAGCTCAGAGGTTCCCAGAGTTTTTTCTTTTTTTTTCTCATAGACCACTTTCAAAATTTAGCTGGTCCCGATTGACCCCCTGCAGCTACATTTCTACCATATTATTTTATGTCACGCCAACGTAGACCCCCGTCGAGTCTTTCGTGGACCATTGGGGGTCCACCAGGACCACTTTGGGAACTAAGGGTTTACCTAAATTACTTCATTCAATCCCGATCACTGGTTATTGCCGTATTGTATTAATAATTATAAATTTACTATAGCAATGTTCTTTTTTCTTTCAGAAATCAAACTTACATCCTCAATTTACATTCTAGCCGCGAATCGTTTGGTAGTAGGTCGTGAAGATGGCTCCATAGTAATTGTGGACGCAACACATACTGTCCAATTGCAGCTTTTGCATGGTAAACATCAGCATTCCGATGGTAAGTATACATAAGTCTTCTTCTTTTTAAAAGTTTTATAGCTCCGTCGATATAATCGATGATGCCGCCAACGTGTTATTCTTTTTTTTTTTATTGTGACTCGGCAAAATGACAGCACCGCGCCTGATGGAAAGTGCGAATACAGTCCAGAGATGAGAGTAACGGATGGAAAACACAAATATCTTCACTCCGTCACTATCATTTTGCCGGTCTGGCCAAATGCTTCTTCACACTACGTTTGAAGGACCCGATGTTATAGAGGGGAGGGAATACATGGTGAAAGGGGGTACAAGTAAACAATGTCAACTCTACAAGGAAACGTTGAAACCACTTAACGCTTAATATCACATCTGCTTTTCGCGTCTCCTTGTAAAGTTGGCTTTTTTTACTTGTACAAGGGCTACAAGTAAAAAAGCGTTAAGCACAGAATTATTCATGAAATAAATGTTTCTGATTTTCAACAATTAAATAGTTCACTTGACAGTAATGATGTTTTTCTTGCAGACTGGGCGACCCACCAACTTCTTCTGGGGCACAATGGACGTGTAAATTGTCTACTATACCCTCATCATGTACATCAAAGGTAAATACATATTTTAATACAAACTGAAAACTGATGACAGATATGTAACATTTAAAAGCAATTAAACTTATTACTGGCCTCTAAAACATAGTTTCGCAAAGTAGTCACTACCACCTACCAGTGGGCGCTAAAGAGTCCTAGGCAGTCCTCGAAAGCACTTGGGAGGCGTTGATGCTATCCAGAGAGTGCTACCGCATTTGAAAAAAAACCTGAATTATGTATATTGTAAACTACACTACAAATATATCTGTGGCTCTAGTGAAAAGGGATACAAGTCGAAAAAGCCAACTTTACAAGGAGACGTGAAAAACAGATATGATATTAAGCGTTAACTGCTTTTCGCGTATCCTTGTAAAGTTGTCTATTTTGACATGTACTCCTTTTCATTAGAGCCACAGATATAATTGTTTTCCTCTTTTTCCTGTGAACACTTGTCCGAGAATGACCGGTATTTGAACCCGGGACAGTCCAGCATGGTAACAGTTCGGCCACGGGGGCAGTTGGTTTAGATAGAGATATAAGAAGAATAAATGTTCATGTGTGGTGCTGAGCTTTCGCGTATCGTATTTATTTTAGTTCAATTGACGTTATTACGCAGTCGCGATGGGTTTTTTTTATAATAATAACGCACACACTCAACATAGCCCCGCACTAGGGAAACCCTGTGTCGCGGGTGCCATGGACACACACATAGACAACCACAAATTACACCCCGTCCAGTTTAACTTGAGCCTTATTATAATGGACGAAAATTGCAAAATTACCTATATATTTAATTACCGATGAAATGTGATAACAGCCTCCCATTGTTAGAGATATTATCTTTATTACAATAAATACAGAATATTTTTGGAATATACGGAGACGTACACACAGGTCAGTTGTTGGCGCTGTACTATTTCAGTTTTCTAATTAGTGATTTCAGCGCACACAAAAGTTGATATTGAAAAATAATATAAGGCCTTTTTGCTTGATGAGTTGCCAAGGATGGATGGCCCGTGTTTTGTATCTATTTTCGGTTATATAATCGATGGGCTAGTCTATTGAGGGAATTGGGTTTGTTGCATATTCTATTTTTTGTATTTTTTTTATCAGATACGACAAATCCCACCTCGTCTCGGGCGGTATAGATTTCGCAGTGTGCCTATGGGACTTGTTCAGTGGCTCGTTGCTGCACCGCTTCTGCGTACACGCAGGGGAAATCACGCAGCTCATAGTCCCGCCGCATAATTGTACTGTAAGTGTTAGATTTTTTTATTATTGCTAGATAATCCAATTGCCTGGTCTGGAACTAGTGAATTCCCTGTAATTGTTACTAGAGCAATGAAATTGACCATTAGAACCGTTTTTAATTTGGCAGGAAATGAGATGTAAGATTTTATATTGAAGATTATCATTCTTGACCAAATTAATTTGTAACATGACATGTTTGTGACATTTTTGTATTATTGTGTTGTGGTAGTCTGATTGACATTATGTAACTAGACATTTGCATGCTGTTTAATATATTATGCGAAACATGTTTGCACTGGCCACTGTCTCTTTTAACATCTTCTGTTACCATGTTTTTAACAAAAAACGAATTATTATTATTATTGTTTAATTTGAATTTACCATCAGCTATTCGGTAAAGAAGAACATCATGATGAACCTTCTTCGGCGTGCAGGTTTCATAACGATATTTTCCTTCTCCGAAAAGCTTATGATAAATTTCAAATTAAATTTCGTACATAAATTCCGAGAAACGCGGAGATGCAAGCCCGGATTCGAACCCACGGCCTCTGCTTGAGAGGCAGCAGGGCAAACCGTTAGGCTACCATGGCCTTTATCACCATTTACCAAAAATTTTTGTTTCAGCCCCGCATACAAAAATGCATCTGCTCAGTCGCATCAGACCACAGTGTGACATTACTTAGTAAGTTCTAGAAGTTATTATTTAATTGTGTATCGACTGTGAACTGGCAATCGGTCTATCCAAATTATGACAACTTTACAGGATGAAGAAAAAAATTGTTTGCGTCATTTATATAGCATCTGATTTATTAAATAAAAATACGTAGTTTTTAAGTATTATTATTACAGATACACTACGTATTTTTATTTATTAAACCAGGTGCTATATAGCAATGATGCAAACAATTTTATCTTCATCGTGTAAAGTTGTCAAAACTGAGATAGTACCGGTTGTCAGTTCACAGTCGATGATCTTGAAGATCTTTTGTTGTTATTTTAAGGTCGATTTTTTTAACAAGAATGCACGTCGCAACGGCAAGTTGGTGACTGCTGACCCAGAACCGATTTTAGAAATCCGTAAAACGATCTACATTACAAATCCATTCAAATTTCCAACAAAATGGTTAATAATATAAAAAATATTACAAAAAAAACAATTCATTCACTGCCAAACTAAAGAAGAAAGAAGAGACTTGTAAAACAAACACACATTATTCAGTCTTATATATCATGCAGAACAGTGATCTCTAACAAGTTGCTCTAAGAAAAGTTAACAGAAATATTTTTGAAAAGTTATTTCATTATAACTTAAATGTAAAGGAGTGATCATATTAAAATAAACTGTAAAAAAGGAATCATAAGTATAATCTTCATATGGCTACACAATTAAATCTTAGAACTGTAAGAGCGGTAACACACTGCGAGTTTTAGCAGCGACGCAAACGCGATGCAGCCGCTAATCATCTACGTTTTCTAACGCGCGCGATTTTCAGCAGTGACGCAAGCGCGCGACTGTGGTGTAGAAAACTCGCGGTGTGTAACCACTGTAATAATAATAATAATAATAATAACGCACACACTCAACATAGCCCCGCACTAGGGAACCCTGTGTCGCGGGTGCCATTACACCCAAACTCACGAGATAAATAAAGTAGGCTATACAAATTTTTCTCCCGACCTGGTAATTGAACTTGGGACCCGTGGCAGTCCGGCATTGTAACCGTTCGGCCATGGAGGCAGTTAATAGTGTCGTTGCGTTGTCTAAACAAAGTAAATGCGTGCCTGTATTTATATTTAGTACCTAACAGTGGCGAGGCGTCCATATAACTCGATTCCCACCGGCATGCCTAACATTTTACACGTATTACCAAAATACTGTCCTAGCTTCACCGCTTAAAAAACTTATATTCGAAAATATATTCAATATTATTACACATAGGAAATGAAACTATTTTTCCGGATTTAAATCAAGTATATTTGTTTTTTCAAACAAACCAACGTTTCGGGGCCTTTACAGGTTCCATGGTCACGGTTGACTATATTCAATAATATACGCGTAATAACCTGTCACTATGGATCTTAACAAATCACAGCGCGAGGAAAGCGGCCGCGTCTCCGTCTTCTTTTTCACATTCGCAAAATGCCGCTATAAAACCAGGATGAGACCTGGCGGCCGAAAACTCAAAAATCATCGGGTTATGCCGGATAGCGTTCACATAAATTTTAACATTATTTCAACTATGATAGGTTTATTTTTAAAAACTGATTTGTTTGAATCCAATGCCCGAATCATTGCCAGGTGTAAAACTTTCTTAAAATAATGTTGTAAAATTATTGCAATCACACATCAATACAAACGGTTAATTAGTATTTTGTACATATTAAACAATAAATAGTGTTACCAAAGATGTAACGTTTGGATATTTTACTTCAATCGGGCTATGTGAAGAACGTAGACGTTCGTGTTAAATGTAATTAGTACTTGCAATTAAAAATTTAAATGGCAATATTTTCTTTCGCCGTTGCGATACGAAAGTTTCTTGTTAAAGTATTTGTACTCAATTTAAGTGTAAAATAACTTAATCTGTGAAATAAAGGGGTCTTGTGTGCTAATAGGTATTGTGCTTGAGCGTTGCAAAAGAGTTTTTGTTAAGGTAGGTGTTTTATGTTGTGTTGTTATTTTCACAATTGCACCATACATTTCTGTGGCCGCAAGTTATTATAATACAAACTTGATTTACAATGTGATATACACTGCGCACTGCAAGGAACCATGTGATACTATTATTTACTTATAACAACTGTATTTATACCATATGGTTACAATAAACGATATTGTATTCTAATAATTTGTTTTTTTGTTTGTTTAAAACAGGGCTACAAATAGTACTTAATAAAAATATTAATAATTTTTGTTTTCAGGTCTCTCGGAGCGCAAATGCGTGACTCTAGCGTCTCGCCACTTATTCCCCGTGGTGACCATAAAATGGCGACCGCTTGACGACTTCATGGTGGTAGGATGCAGTGACGGCACGGTCTACGTATGGCAGATGGAGACGGGGCATTTGGATAGAGTTCTACATGGTAAGTTCAGAGTTAATAATATCTAATAATAATTGTGTTAAAAATAACAAACTTAGTAGAACAACTACTCCAAAAATGGTTTTTTTAAGCGCTCTTTGGATTTCTATAATAAAAACTCAAATAATGTACATATTTTTGGGTTTCTTACACAGTTTTAAGAAGAAAGTAAATGTAGTAATTTTTCTAATTTTTTATTTGTTTTTTAAACTTAACGTGCGTATAACAGTGCACTGTAGTTTATGTCCGGGATGTTACTTTATTATCTAGTTTATTATATTAGTGTAGTTGAACCGTAATTAATTGCAGAATTTTTGATGTTTGTTTCCTTTGAAAAAAAAAATAACATGGAGAATTTTTGGAAGAAGGATTTAGCTTGTGACTGTTTTGACATTGACATTTAACACGTTTGGATACGTATCGGATACAAACACATGGCACGACTTTGCTAGCGGTGACATTTTGTTTCCAATAAATTTTATGAATATTATGATAGTTATCAATGATAATTACCATTTCGAATCTTTGTCCTAAATACCGGTAGTAGGTAAATCGTGAACTAGATTGATTTATTTTCAAATAAGACCTAAAATAAAAAGTAACGTAACCGACCAGAATGCTGCAAGGGGATTTTACTTTTTTTTTATAATACCACGCAAATGACGGGACGAACAAGGCCTGCGCCTTATGCTAAGCGACGCGTCGGACTGAAGATCTGAGTGCCCCACTGCCACTGCACTCGTCACCTTGACATTTTTTTTTCTATAATGACAATTGACTGGACGAACAAGTCGTGCGCCTGATGATAAGTTACACGCGGTTACTTATCAGTTAGTCCGACGTGACAGTTTGCAGAAATAACGTTTGGTCGAAATTTCATAACCTCGAAAGTAATTTTGAGAGGAAAATGTTTTTTTCTTTTAAACCTTACTTAACCTAACCGAACCTAATCGTTTTCGATAAACATTCAACATGTCCTGAAAGAATAACTATTTCGTTATAATTCGGTGTAATGAAAATTCGAACAAACGTTATTTCGAACAAAAAAATTTTCGGCTTTGTGGTAGGTTACCGCTACGCGCCTGTCCATGACAGTTTCATTGCCACTCAGAGCTTTAAACCGCAAAGATCAGAGGGGAATTGCCACTGCGCCCGACACCCTAAGATATAAGTTGATAAGTCCCATGTGTCTGTATCTTCACCAGCTCCTTTACTCTATACCCTTCAAAACCGGAACACTGTAATGCTGACATTACTGCTTAGCGGCAGAAATAGGTAAGGTGGCAGTAATTCACTGGACGAACTCTTTCACAAGGAGCTCTACTGCTACTAAACTGACATAAATTGAGAGATCCCATCTTGAAAACCGGAACGCTGTAAGCTCGCATTACTGAAATAGGTAATATGGCAGTGTTCCGCTAAGTGTGTCGGTGAGTGTATATAACTGTAGGGTTACAAAGTAGGCGATTTATAGGTACACTTTAATGGTGCAAATAATTCCTACTCCACCAGGTATGATAGCCGAAGAGGTGCTGGCAGCTTGTGATGAAACGTTAACCGACGACCTGGGAGGGTCGATTGGTGGTGGAGGCAGCAGCGACATGCAGGGATTGGCCAATCCAGCTGTGCATTTCTTCAGGTAAACCAAACATACATAAACTTCACGCCTTTTTCATTGGGGTAAGTTTACCCACTGGGGTAGCCAGTTTGCCCATTGTGGTAGCCAGTTTGCCCATTGTGGTAGCCAGTTTGCCCATTGGGGTAGCCCTGACTAAGGATGACCATTACACTTTGATTTTTATAAAGATCGATTCAAGTGTATACGATCTAGTGATTTTTTGTATTGATTCAGTTCAATGTGATTTTTAAATAATAATAATAATAACACGCACACACTGATAGCCCCGCACTAGGGAACCACTGTATCACGGGTGCCATGGATACACAGACAGACAACCACAAATTACACCCATACTCACGAGAGAAATAAATGTAGGTCATACAAATATTTCTCCCAGCCCGGGAATCGAACCCGGGACCTCTGAGTGGCAGTGCGGCATGGTAACCGTTCGGCCACGAAGGCGGTTAAAAAGTAGATCGATTCAACGTTAAGACGAATCAAATCTTCTTGATCGTATTTTGTAATTTAAACAAAACAGTCTCTGGGGTTCAGATATAAAATAGGGATTTTATATTGGCCTGCAAGAATGGCAATTTGGTAACTTCTAAATACAATAAGTCTACAATATTTGTCGATTGTCCTTATTTCTGTGCCATTTGAACGTCTTTTCTCACTGGCTAGTATCACTATAAATGAAAGTCGTAACCGACTAAAGCCAAAAAGGCTGTCCAAATTATTTATTTTTACCGAAATTAATTTTGAAACTATTTTTATGACATCGATTCAGAGTCATACGATCCATTACTCGACGATTCAAAAAATGATTCAAAGCAAAAATCGTGCATCTCTAGTCCTGACAACACACATCCTTCAACTCGTCAATACGCATCAGTGCTTTCTATAGAGAATATAACCAGAAATAGAGACGAAATGTCATTTCATTTGTTTGAAAACAATTCTGCCAAATCGTTACGGTGACAACTGCGCTTCGATTGGCCAGCAAAAATTCGAAACAATTGACGGGTGTCACCAATTGTTTCACTTATAATGGACCAGTTCCACTTGAGCTTTGCTATAATGGGCGAAAATTGCAAAATTACATATTTGATTACCGGTGAAATGTGATTCCGTTTGTTTTGTAATTACATGTTTTGCTGTTTTTATCGGTGGTGTGATAAAAACAGCAACCCTCCATTATTAGAGATATTATCTTTATTACAATAAACACAGAATATTTTTGGTATATACGGAGACGTACACAGGTCAGTTGTTGGCGCTGTAGTATTTGAGTTTCTAATTTGTAATTTCAGCGCAAACGGGAGTTGATATTTCGAAGTGATTATAAGGCCCATTTGCCTGATGAGCTGCCAAGGATGGATGGGCCTTATTTTGTCTCTATATCTGGTTATATACTCGATGGTGCATATCGACTAAGGGTTCTCTCAACCTGGCTCTTCTTTAGGATGACCTAAACTAGGTGGCAGAAAGTTCGCCTTTGATTACTCTTACCCACTTCCTTACACTCGCCTTATAGATCTGTTTCAATCATTCTTCCACATGCCCGAACCATCGAAGCATCCCTTTCTCTTTCTTTATAACCCAGGTAAGTATATCAGGTGTCGCCACGCCTAAGGTTCAATCATAATGTAAATTACATACGCGACATTCTTTCTATCACAACAACCTTTAAATAGAGTATCTTTCTTCATGTGCACTTCTTCTAACTCCATTCTACTTCATAGGACTACTATAATTGTCCTAACAGGTCCTTGACCTTATATCGATCCTCTTCCTCTGATCCCTATGATGGGCCTCCACACACACCCCTACAGCCCTTCCTCTGCCACCGCTTCTTGCCCCCTTATACCTTCAGTACAAGTGGCGGTCTCATTTTAATTCTGTTAATGATTCGTCATACTCTATCTTCAGTCTGTCTAGTCAACAAATACTGTATCTACGTTAGTAATAAACATTGTGCAAACTTACCAACTAGTGCCGACCAACCAGTGCACTCCCAGCAGATACCTGATACCTCACCTTCATTTGAGATGCCATAACAGACTAAAGTTATTAATGCTTGATATTACAAAACTTATACTAAATCGTGACATAATTCGTGACATCAGGTAAACCGACTTACATAATAAATAAATATGTACAAAATGGATTTGGAAGCTCATCCGTGGCCAATTTTCGTCGGGTCACCGCCACGGAAGCCCATGATTATAAACAATTTCTCAACTCGATACTGCCTTAGCGCGATTAAAATTTTTCCCTTACTAATAACGGTTCATTTTCCTAGGGACACTGGCTTTATTTCAGAATTAATATTTTTACAAACGAAATGAAGCCATTTGAAAAATGTATATCGTATACATTTTCAAATGGTATTGTAAAATTTCGAGATAAGTTTGGATTTTTTACTATCGTGAAATTTTCGGTATCGTGTTTTAAAAATATTGTGCGGTGCATAAGCAGTAGATTTTTTTAAATAAAATATAAGTGCGCAGTTGACCTCCATCTCACCTGATGGAAAGTGACGATGAAGTCGACGATGGAGCATGCACACCTAAATAATAGCTATTCACTCTCGCCTTGAAAAGGTCCAAGTTATAGCGTTCGGGGATCAAGTCTGCAGGCAGGGAATTCCTCTATATAGCCATTCGCCAAATAAATGTGGAAGAGTAACGCTTCGTGCGAGTCTTTGGAATATCCACAACATAGGGGTGGAATCCAAGCCTACGCCTTGTTGTGATATATCTTGTAAAATACCGATAAGCAGGCAACTTTACGGTGTTTTCAGACTCTTCAGCTTCGCCTCTACTAATTCCGAGTCACCTATAAGTCTCTTGGCACGCTTGTCAATTTAATCCAAGGCGGCTAGTTGGTATGTAGCAGAGCCATACCAAAGGTGGCAGCAGTGTTTTTAAAATTGTGCAGAGGCCTCCGGCACCGAAATCTGAATGCCATGCGGGCCGCGACCCAACGCGGGTTGGCGGCGCTGCAAACCACAGGGCAGCAGGGCAGCGCGGGCCCGCTCGCCGAGCCCATTCGCCGTCGAGCACCACTCACTGTGCAGGGCTTCCGATCCAATCCCGCTGGTAAGTCCAACCAACCAAAAACGTGACCCCACATCCATATGAGGGATATCAGGGATACCAACCGCAGCTCACCTCACAACGTACATTTTTTTTATAATACCAGGTGACGTGAATTGTTTGATGGTAAGCGACACACCTATCAGTTGCAGTGCCACTCAGAGCTTTAAATCGCAAAGATCTTATTGGCACTGTCACTACGTCACCCTGAGACATAAGTTGACAGGTCCAATGTTCCTGTAATTTCAACCCTTCAAAACCGGAACGCAGTAATGCTTACTATGCTGCTTGGCGGCAGAAATAGTTACGGTGGCAGTACTTCTCTGGACGAACTCTTTCAGAAGGAGCTCTACTGCTACTAAATCCACATTCACAAGGTCTGTTCTTTTCGAAGACGGAGTAAAATGACATTTGTAGGGCTCCCAGTTTTCATGAAAAATTTTTATCGCTCTTTTAACTAGAACTAATTTTTACAACGAAAATACAAAAAAGACGAACAGAAAGCAATATTAAAACACATTATTTTACCGCCTTTTTCTTTTTTTTAAATAGTAAGGTGGCTATTTTTAATTCTCGCAATTACGAACATTCGGCACTTGGCTGTATTAGTTTTTAATTTACTTGTTTACATAGTTCGTTGTTATTAGATACGGCCGGGAAGAATTAGCACAGTCCATAAATGACAAACTTGCCGTGTTCGTTTTTTAAAAGTAATGCAAAAATTTTCAAGCATGTTTGAGAAAAGGTTATTTTGTTAATAGATCCCGAAAGCCATATACTGTTCTTCGACATCGAGGGCCTGATCGTCGAACTGCTCAGCGAGGAATATTCTGCAATGAGTCCGGCTAGTTTGGAGGTATATATTTTATTTATATTTATTTATTCTTTATTACGTAAATGCGTAGGTCAATACTCAATACTTTATTGCATACAATAATGTTATATACAAGGTGGTAGGCATCAAGTATATAACCAGAAATAGAGACGAAATAAGGGCCATACATTTCTGGTAACTCATCAGTGATACATCATTTATAAATATCAATTCTCCTTTGCACTGAAATATAGACAGCGCCAACAACTGACCTGTGTGTACGTCTCCGTATATTCCAAAAATATTCTGTATTTACTGTAATAAAGATACTATTTGTAACAATGGCGTGCTTTCCATTCGGTGGTGCGGGGAAAGAAACACAACAGCAAAACATCTAATTACAAAACAAACAGAATCAAATTTCATCGGTAATTAAATATGTAATTTTGAAATTTAGGTAGCATATATAGCAAAGCTCAAGTTAACTGGTCGATTTGAAGTGAAACAATTGAGGACACCCGTCAATTGTTTCGAATTCGAACTGGCCAATCAAATGGTAATGATATGGCAGAATAGTTTTCAAACAAAATAAATGACATTTCGTCTCTATTTCTGGTATATACTCGATGGTGGTAGGTAATATAAATTAAGTTCATTATGGACCCCGTAAGGGTGCAAATGACAAAAATCTGAATAAATTAAACTAATTCTAACCCTATTCTATTTACGCCTTAATATTATTACAGGTACATATTGCTCATTAAATAAATAATAAATAAATAAATAACGCACACACTCAACATAGCCTCGCACTAGGGAAACCCTGTGTCGCGGGTGCCATGGACACACACATAGACAACCACAAATTACACCCAAACTCACGAGAGAAATAATTGTAGGCCATACAACTATTTCTCTCGGCCCGGGAATCGAATCTGGGACCTCTGCGTGGCAGTCCGGCATGGTAACCGTTCGGCCACGGAGGCAGTTGAATTGTGTATTTCTTGAGATTTTTTTTAAGATAATAATCATTTATATAAATTTTCTTTTACAACAATATAATTTATTTAACGTAATATCTGTATGATGTATGTAAGTTACGCGCACTTTCCGGTACCCGATTCAATAAAACTTGGCAAATAGATCAAAAGATCGTGGAACTATCCACGAACTTTTGATGTCGGTCTTTTATAAGAAAGTTATTTGCCGTTAAAATTTTGCTGCCTTTTCGTTCTGCAGCAATGTAAATTGAGCCTTAATGGGCTGCTTTTAAGAGCGTCAATAGTGAAAATGATACTCGTTTTCAGGCGGCGGGTCTTATTTCAAGTGAATACATGACCATGGCGCAACTGACTCGTTCGGCCAGCCCTGATGCAGCTAAGAGGATATCAGGTGCTAAATTAATTACTTTATAGCATAGAAAAAATTGTAACATGAATGCACAGAAAATTGTAAACAAGCGGTAACCTAAATATAGGTTTAAATATATGATGTTAGTAAAATAGTCCTGGGAGGTTGTTAGTATATACTAACCTTACTGTTTCCCACTAGGGTAGGCAAAGACTCTGGATGTCCAACATGCTAGCAAGCTATGCTCATGACAACTCGAAAATTCGACGCAAAATATAAAAAAATTGCATATATCGCACTTAACAACTAACATAGTATTATCTCAAAAATTGCGTTATACTATATTTTATCTCAAAATTGCGTTATATTAATAATTTATCTCCAAAATTTCGCTATATTGATGTGTCATTCATATATGATTTAATTTCAAAGTGATAAGACAACACTGTCGCTTACTACTATAACAACAATATAACAACTATATAGGTAATATTAATATAACTTAAAGCCCTTTTTAGATAATACTATGTTAGTTGTCATGTGCGATATGTATAATACGCATACAACGTCAAATTTGACATAACTACTTTCACAGATGTCTTTCATCAGGGTAGGTAGAGACACTACGGACCTCTACCCGGTACGCTCTTGACATACTGACGTCTATTAACATCAGAATTGGGGACCATTTTAGCATTTGTAAAATTAAACTCAAAATGTCTGCAAGTAAGGTATTGTACTGATAAAAAGTCTACCGTATTGGCATGCATTTTGAGTTCAATTATGCCTCATTTTAAAGCCCATAGAAAATTGAATGTGTGTTGACAATTTGTTGATTGTTTTGTGTCCTTGGAAAGTATAAATATAATTTCTCTCTCTATACGCATGCGTACATTACGGATAGATTTCTTCGGTCGAGTCAAAGACAAAGCTGGAGATATGGAGCGGATTCTCAAAGAGAAGGATAAACATGGTTTGTATAATAATAATAATTAGGGCGAAATACATCTTTGTCCACGATAAACCGGTTGGTTCAATAAATCAACCAATTGACCAGTATAAGTTGAAAGTAGTGATTTTTTTGTCACGAAACGTACAAGTTGTGCGCCTAGTGGTAAGCGACACACCTGTACACAACAGTTGCAGTCTGTTAACTAAGATAAACGATTGTTTTATAGGGAACGGAAATTTGTATACGTTTTTACAATAAGATTCCGAAGCACATAATTATCATTATTTATTTATTATATTTTTTATTTCTTATCTTTTATATCATTATAAAAGATAAAATAAAATCGTCTTTATTTGACATGCAAAATACATTATAAAATTGTATAATTGTATAACAATTGTAAAATATTAAATAATTCGTTCATAAGTACAAAAAAAAACAATAGAATAAAAGTATATTAAAAAAACACCGCAATAAAATAATTCAAACACTAACGCAATCAGACGCTGAATAAATTAAATTTAACACGTACAACATTCACACATGAAAATAATCAATTTTAATAATAACAACAATAATTATTAATACAAAGATCGAACACTCAGAAAAAATTCCTTCGATCCGGCCGGATTTGAACTGACGTCTTCTAGCATACCGTGCCAGACGCTATACCAACTAAGCCACGGAACGAACCAGCTGACCTCACGAATTTTTCTATGTGCTTGCGTCGTGTCTTTGTATTTGGTTTTTCAACGTCGCTTATCATTAGGTGTCCGACTTGTTCCTATCATCACTCAGTATCGTAAAAAAAATCATCACATCTGTTTCCCACCGAGGTAGACAAGAGACTGGAAGCTGCAGAGAGCTTTGAACACCCCGTTGTCTGCTTATCGGTATTTCACAAGCTTTTATTATTTTACATGTCACGGAGAGTGAGCGATGGAATTACACGATTAAATTCCACTTTCCCCATTCCATCACCGAGGGACTAGACGTAGGCCTCGGTTCCACCCCTATGTTGTCCATATTCCAAAGATTCGCACGAAGCGTTACGGCTTCCACATTTATATGGCGAATGGCTATGGAGTGGAATTCCCTGCCTGCAGACTTGTTCCGTGAACGCATAGAGTATATAACCAGAAATAGAAACGAAATGTCATTTATTTTTTTAGAAAACTATTCTGCCAAATGATAATTGGTGACAACATCGCTCCGATTGGCCAGCCCGAATTCGAAGTATACATTAGAGTTGGGCAAGCAAATATTATATTATCGAAATCGATAGTATCGATGGGTCCAAAGTATAAGGGCCAAACTAACAATTTGATCATTTTCACTTCTTTGTGGGAAATGCTTCATTTCATTATAAAATATAAATGGTTCATTGATTGCATAAATGTGGTGTCGTCAATTGTTTCACTTCAAATCGATCAGCTTAACTTGAGCTTTGCTATAATGGACGAAAATGGCAAAATTACATATTTAATTACCGATGAAATGTGATTCCGTTTGTTTTGTAATTACATGTTTTGCTGTTTTCCTCACACCGCCGAATAGAATAGCACGTCATTGTTAGAGATATTATCTTTATTACAATTTAGTGCAAACGATAGTTGATATTTATAAGTGATGTAGCACTGATGAATTGTATGGCCCGTATTTCGTCTCTATTTCTGGTTGTATACTCGATGCCTGAACGTCATAACTTGAACCTTTTCAAGACGAGAGTGAATCGGCATTATTTAGGTGTGCAAGCTCCATCGTCGACTTCATCGTCACTTTCCATCAGGTGAGATAAAGGTGAAATGCGCACTTACATTTTTATTTAAAAAAAGGACCATGAATCTGCTGCACTCCTTCACCTCGTCCACTCCCAACACTCTATTCATGCGTGCTCGCTCATTGTGTACAACTTCCATGAAATGTAGGTGAATATACTTTCTATCTGTTCCGATTATTATTACTGCACTTTTTATTGGATGATGTTATGTGATATATACAGGGTGTAATCATTAAGTGTGCGCTGGCGATTATTCCATAAATATAAGAGATATCAAAAAATTTAAACTGGTGTCAAAAGTACGTTACCTAATGAGTAAATCAACATCAATAACTTTTTAAAAATAAAACTTTAACATTGACCGCTCCCATAAATTGAGTGACATTCGTAGAGAGACTTTAGTTTTCCTACTGTAAGAGGTAACAATAACTTAACAGATTTTTATAGAATATGTGAAAAAACACTTTTTATTAAATTTGACCCACTTCTGCTGTCCCGATTTTTTTCGTCCCATGCAACGAATTGATCCTTACATGGAACTGAGTTAAATAGTATAATAAAAAATATTATGAATTTTACTCACATTTCATTATATAATTGACTGTGGCATTATATGTTTATTCAATTAAAAGATAGTTTTACTATTTTATTTTCTTTTCTTTTTTTTTTTATTGTGACTCGGCAAAATGACTGCACCGCGCCTGATGGAAAGTGCGAATACAGTCCAGAGATGAGAGTAACGGATGGAAAACACAAATATCTTCACTCCGTCACTATCATTTTGCCGGTCTGGCCAAATGCTTCTTCACACTACGTTTGAAGGACCCGATGTTATAGAGGGGAGGGAATACATGCGCTGGGAGTTGGTTCCGCAATTTGATGGTTCGGCATAAAAACGAATTGCCAAACTTTTTAGTGCGGGACGGTATTGAACTGACCGTCCAACTGTGGCAACGCAGTCCGGCACGGGTGGTCCGCTGATGGAAAGGAGAGAAAGGGATAAGGTTGAATAACTCTTCAGAGCACTCACCGTGGTACTCACCGTGGTATTTATAGCAGTTCTGTCATCATTTAACTTATTGTTATCTCTTACATTAGGAAAACTAAAGCCTCTCTACGAGGTCAGATTAAATGTATGTGGGTGTTTAATGTTAAAATTTTGGATATCTCTAGTTTTATTTAAAAAAGTTATTGATGTCGATTTACTCATTAGGTAACATACTTTCGATGTCAGTTTAAAGCTTTTTGATATACATTATATTTATGGAATTATCGCCTGGGCACACTTAACGAATGCACCCCGTATAATATAAAAATATCACACAGGTATCCTGGCGAAAATGAAAGAGAGTGCTGAAACAATGCAGACCAAGTTACAGGCGAAGGCCGAGCAGCTCAAGGGACATCTAGACCACAAAGGTAAGTTTAGACATAAGTTGATCAATTTGCTCGAAAAGATGGCTTGATCCGATTTAGCTGTCCAATCTTACCGATACCTCCAATGAACACTACGCCAGCTTAATTTCTGGACCTGGGGGTCGATTCAGAACCTTACGATAACTCAGTTGTCGACCGACTCGATTTGATATCGTACGATTTCTTTTCATTCTTATTCACAGCACTTGAATCGAACGTCAAACTCGTATTCGAAAAATAACCGAAATGACGTCACACCCGTACGATTACTCGAATTTCTCGGCAAACGCTACAAACGTTATTCAGAACACAGTTAGCGAATAAAAGTTACCGAACGTCCTATTGTTTACAAAGTAAGAAGGTAATATGGAAATCTCTTATTATTTTAAATAAAGTGTGGATTTTGTTCAATTTTATTAATTTATTTTAATGCAATATTAATGCGTTCCTATATTTTAGGCCTTTAAAGTCTTAAAAATGTATATAAAAGGATTTAATTTTTTCTTATAACCTATTTCACCGACTGACTCCGTAAACGCTGTTGCATAACGATATCGTGGGGTCTACTCTCGATCTCCATCCGACATCCGTCCGAAACAATTACTGTCAAATAAGCAATACTCGACCAAATGAAAAGACGCGTGATGCGAATGAAGCTTCATACTTGATAGCTGTCTTTTAATTTGGTCGAGAAATAAGCAATTATTTGACAGTAATTGTTTCGGACGGATGTCGGACGGAGATCGAGAGTAGAACCCCCGTATCCGAATCCGAATCCGAATCGAATGTTTAACTCGAGTGATCTGAATAGCTCGGGAAAACGCCTTTCGATTCGAGAACGATATCCAGTCGAACGACTCGGTTAAAATATCGAAGAGTTCTGAATCGGGCTCCTGTTCTGTTTTTATTGTGTTCCTTAATTTTTTCATTCACAAAATTAGTATAGAATACGTGTATTTGCCAGAATACAGTAATGATAAAAGTCTTAAATAAAATTAGGTGCATTGTATTCAACCTGAAAGCAGATGTTCAAATATTAATTTCATGTTTGGTTTCTATCGTTAATTGCAGTTCAAATTAATGTAAATTCTTATTTGGACATTCTAGTTTTTGTTTTTTGTCTTTTTTTTAAATTTTGTTTTCACCAAATTCCGGGGGCATAATATTAGTAAACAAATGTGGCTGTTTACAAAAATTACTGAAAATGACCAAAAAATAAAGTTGACGGACTGTTCATTGGTATAAGGTATCGTTGTAACGATATCGTTTTTCTTGTTATCGTGTCGATGCTTTTAAGACTATATAGGCTTTGAATTGCGCTCTTTAACTGCACTCTTTACGGAAGAAAAAAACAATGGAAGAGCCTCATGCCTCGATTACTATAAGAACCGATGTCGCCAAAACTCACACATTCTTAATTTGAAACACTACAAAATCTTGATATTGATTGATCGTAGTTTCAAATTTAAAAAGAAATTACAAATTCTGGATTGTTAATACAATTTCAACTTTACCCTGTTGGTATATCGTTGAAAGTTAAATACCATCAATACCTATTATTACAAGTTACGACGTTTTGATATAATATTGAAATTTCAATCAATATCATGCCATCTAGCGGTTCATTGTTGAACGACGACGAATTGGTGTTATTAATTTAGTTTTCCAAACAAGAAGCGACCATATTGCACGGGTATAACCATTGACTTACAATTATATGGACGTCGGGTCCGCGCTAAAAAGTGTCCGCACTTGTAAGGCGCTAAAATCGTATACAGAGCGCCAAACTCCGCTTTAGTCTTCATTTGTTCGACTGACAGCGCGATACTGCGATGACATTACAATTTAAATTTCGAATAGGTTGACTTGGGACATTTTTTTCGTGGTTTTTGTATTAGACCCGTCGTCCATTTATTTGTAAGTCAATGGGTATAACCCTTATTTTCGTTTCTTGTAACAAATAAATTGTTTCGATAAACAGCAAAAAAAATTATTAACACATGACTTTCCGACGATGAAATACCACCACGGAGAATATTTTTGGTGCGGCCATCATTTTTGCACTTCAAAACAGCACAATAAGGCATTTTTCTACGATTTTAGAGAATTTGCACGAAAGAATGACACAACCATACCATACAAAGCGAAAATGGCGGGCTGAGCTCAAAGGTCTTTCGAGACCTACAGTTGGCACGCGTCAGACGCTAACTAACCACTTCTACTGTTTTTATTGTTCTGTGGCGCTTTCATGTGTCCGCGTAGAGATCTTCTCTCTTACCCTTTCTTCAGACGGGCGCTAACGAAATGTTATCGTGGCAGTGGGTACTTTGTTTTCACATTTGTTACTATTTTGTCGACGCATTGCAGAGATTTGTTATTTATACAGGATATCAAGTATTTAACTGAAATACTAGTAAAAATTTGATGTCACCACACTTAAACTATCGGTAAAACAGTTCACCAATCGGGTACTGTTTATTTACAGGTAGCTATGGCTACCAGTGACGTTTGCCCGCACATTGCAATTGGTCGCTTTAATGACCTATAACTGTGTGGGTACACATGGTAGTCATGGACCACTCTCAAAATTTTAAAGAGGCCTTTTCGAAAAGATGAAGAAGGAAACGGTTCGCGGGTTGCATCAACACCAGTCTCCCTGGCTCCAATTAAAAAAAAACTGACCCCAAAAGTTCGTGAAATAAAATTTGTCAAGTTTTATTGAGATCGGTTACCGGACTGTGTGCGAAACCGGATTCATCCCCTAGTTTGCCACCCCTAGAGGTGGAATATTTTCTTCAAATTTAAATGGGACCAATACTGAGGTACCCTTTTTCCAATTTGTGGAGTTATCGCGTAACATACACAAAAAAAGAAATACATTTAAATTAAAGAAACTTCTTTTTTAAGTCGGTTAAAAAGGTCATGCGCACAGTACCTATTTACTCACAACATATTCTATACCAATTTTTATATTAATGCATTATGTTAGAACCATAGGGGTTCATGGACCACAGATTAAGAAACCCTGCCTGTACATGGTATTTTTCTCTCAATATCATTATCACTAAGACTTTATGTAACTATATGAGCAAGATAACGGAATTTAAAGTACCTTAACCTTCTATCATTCAGACACAAATCAAGTACAAAAAGTCTTTTTTTGTATTTAAAGACCATTAAAACTGTTTTATTTTATTTATTTATTAAGGTTCATCAACAATTGTTACAACAAATACATTATGAGTGGTTTCTATTCTAGGGTTTATTATACTAATTGCACAATTTTTAACAGATGAACACCACGTGCAAGTAAATTAGTGAATTCAAAAAAGTAGTCCGCGAAGGGCTAGACTCGTATCTATGTATTTACTTAAATAGTAAACAATATTATTAAAAGAAAAAAAAAGTTTTGAAAGTTTAAAGAAAATTAGGTCACGATGATGTGATCGATCGACGGAATTTAACCAAAGAGTCGTGAAATATATCTAAATTATTGATATTAACGATAAAATGGTTATACAAGCTGCATAGACGAGGAACTGGGGAGTTGCGACCCGCTACTGTCCTGCGAATTGGCGTCGAAAAGAGAGCATTAATTCTATGACGGGGACATCTATGCGGCACTTTAAGTTTGAATTGGCTAAGGAGTGAAGAACAGTTTATTTTGTAACGGATAATTTTGTATAGAAAAATCATATCTAATGTGTCTCTACGTTTGTTAGGGTTAACCATTTTAAACATTTTTAACCTGCTATCGTACGAACGTTTTCTTAATCGTGCTCGGAAATATTGGCATTACTTTCAAAAAACGAACACGGAAAGTTTGTCGTTAATGGACCGTGCGACTTCTTCCCGGCCAAGGCCTGCAAAGTAAGTATCAAAATCATTGACCTACAAATAAATGGACGACGGGTCTAATACAAAAACCACGAAAAAAATGTCCCAAGTCAACCTATTTAAACGTAGTGACATGTAAAGGAATATGAAAAAGCTAAAACGTTGAATTTAAATTGTAATGTCATCGCAGTATCGCGCTGTCAGTCGAACAAATGAAGACTAAAGCGGAGTTTGACGCTCTGTATACGATTTTAACAAGTTCGAACACTTTTTAGCGCGGACCCGACGTCCATATAATTGTAAGTCAATGATCAAAATCCATATGTATGTCCGCTGCTTAAGGTTGGGTGAGTTCGTACCGAATTTATATTTATATTATGTATATTATTAGTGTTCCGTTAAATGTGCCGGTGCGTGTAGGATAGCGAAATTTAGTTTCCTAATTCCGGTGGAACGCTCATATTTTACCTAGCGTTTAACCGTACGGTTATTTCTCTTTAGATTTCGAAACAGCGGAACCAAAACAACATTGCATCTGTTAAATAGGTCGACAACAATTACCTAACCTAGACTATGGTACTTATACCAGTCCAGTCTAGAACTAGATAAACTTGAAGCCTAAATAAACTGATAATGTTAGGGTGTGGCATACAATTATGGTTGCATTGTTAACTTGTATAATGGAGCCAATTACTTTATTGAATTATACCGTTTTTCTGTAATTACGATTGTTAGGGTCACTGTTAACGCTTGCATGGTGGTTTTAAAGAGAGATAGAAGGGCGAAAGCACCAAAGCTGTAACGTTGTATTCTTTAAAAAAAAATGTGTAAACAATATCTCCTGTCTGTGCAGAAATCGAGTAGCAATTAGTCGGTGGTTAAATCTATGAGCAACACTAAATTAAAAAAATACAATTTTAGAATGTTTTCTGTTTTTAATTACAATTTTTTTTATACATTTTACATATAGTGCAATACAGACAGCCTCTATCTATCTAATTGCTTCGTATTTAGTGTACACTCTGCTTGGTATTTAGTGTACACTCCGCTTGCCGGTCTGATGCAGCAACCGTATAGGTGAAGCTTGAAAATTAGCAATGCTGAGTCTTCATCCTTTTTAACCACATTACGGTTCTTTTGTTTTAATTGTTCGATTATGTTTATTT